GTGGCAGAGAGAGAGGTGGCGTGGGTGGCAGGGTTGATGCAGGAGGGTTGCAAAAGGCGACCTGGAGCTGCAATGAGTTATTCACGTTGTACAAACAAACTCACAATGTATCCAGGACATTAGTCAAGAGAGATAGGCACGGGGTTGACAGATTGGTGCCAGCGCGATGTGGCACTGCTTGGTGAGTACATTGGGACGAGACGCGAGGAAAGTGGAAACAAATGACGAAATGTGCAGTGGACGATCCGTGTGCGCGATCTGTCCACGTGGATCGTGATGATGATGATGACTGTTACGGGTACACGGGGGGTGGATCGTTGTCTAATTGAGTTGTAGATAGTGAAATAGAGAGGGAGGGGGGGTGGCGGCCCACGTTGTTAATTATCGGTGAAGAATACGTGACTTTACCGAAAGAACCACAGAGTATGGATTCCTGCAGTCACGAAAGCTTCAAATCAAGATTGAAAAATAAAAGACTTAAAAAAAGAACGATGGGTCTTTCGGTAAAGTCACGTAGATAGGTTCAAATAAAATAACAAAAAATAACAAAAAACTACGACGTTTCGATCGCAACACAAGCGATCGAAACGTCGTAGTTTTTTGTCAAAAAAATTCAACCTATCTACGTGACTTTCCCGAAAGACCCAAGAATCTGGAAAGGAACGATGTTTCAGGCACGCCGCTGTAGCGCCCTCTGGCGGCGACGTCGCGGACGTTTTCTTGGTTCTTTCGGTAAAGTCACGTAGAAGGGAAATAATAAAATAATAAAAATAAAACATAATAAAATAATTCTCACGACGTTTCGGCCACAACGCAAGCAGCCGTCCTGAGGTGAAGACCAGGTCTGTCGGTAAGACAGCGTCTGAATGAAACACCCCAGGCTTGGAGCGTATATTTAAGCTGGGTTGGAGGGGGAAGAGCGCCTTGACAAAAGAATGTGCATATCAAGGCGCTCTTCCCCCTCCACATGTAGAGGGAGAAGCACTTTTTCCTCCCCTTCTCATCATTAAAAAGCTTCGGATTGGTGTCGGACAGCTCAGGACGAAACGTCCCGCGGTTGTAGCTGTTACAGCTCCCTGATGGGTTCTTGGGTTCTACCCGATTGGGGGCGCGATGTTTGACGTTTCTCACCCCCCAACCTCCCCGCTGCGTGCTGGGGTCTTCTTCAGAAACTGAATTCACGCGTCAGCAATGACCCGTTTGAGTTGTATTTGTTTTGGCACGCGGGTCATCCCGTTTAGCCGGTTGGCCGGATAATTATTTTCACAGGAGATCCGTGCTGATGAGTCAACACAGCAGCAGCAACTTTTTACAATAATCGATGCCATGTAGAAATAAATCAGTACCTCCTGGTCAGGGCGACCAACCTCGAGGTTTCTATACAGACACATCGGCCAACATTGGGGATCTCTGGCGTGTGCACACACACACACTGCACAAAAGACAAAGATCCCCCGTATAGCCTTAACATACCTTAGAGGCAAGTGCTGTTAGCGAGCACCTATGAAGGCCGGCACGGCACGCGAGACGGAGGGTGGCCAACACCACGCCCGGTCCCCTTTGTCTCCCCAGTGCTGATGTTTACACAGCACACCAGGTACTCACTTGTGGCCGAGTCGACCTAGGGGAGGCCCATGACCGGTTCAAATAATCGTCACTGGTCTTGGCCGTGTTCGTAGCGCAGTGCGCTCACCGCTTTTGGAACGCATGTTAAAGCCAAACACACAGACACCGACCACTCTCACCTTTATTCTGCAGCCCGATTCGCGCTCACCTGCCGATTACAGCCCTGAGCCAGGGGTGGAAATTCCACATTGCTATTGCGGGGAGTGAGCGGGCGAGCGCACCTCCAATTCGCACGGTTGGCTACGTACGGCGCGAAAGAAGTTCGACATGCACACACACAGGACAACGTGTGTTGACTTAAACAGGTGGCACTCGCATTGACACTGTGACTTCAAAAGCCACTTATCCTCATCGTAATGCAAGCGATAAGTTAAAGTGGGTTATGATGCCACCCACCCCCCTGCAGAGAAGACAAACAACTCGTATCTTGGTCGCTGCACACCGAGGTCGGTTTACCGCGCAGGGTTGGAGCTTCGTTACTGAGAAAATTAAATAATAACATTACCACAAAGAGACACGGCCATGAAAACCATTCGAGAATAATCACACATCTTGGGCAGCCCACTGCTGGCCTGTAGGCTCTCCCCCACTCCCATATTGTGTCGTGTGGCTTGTTTGACCATACTTCACCGCGCTGGTCAGTGTGGGGTTGGTGAATGTAGGGGGATCCCCAGTGCCGGTTCAGAAACAGCTATAGGGCTCAGTGGGCCTTACCTGGTAAAATAAAAAGGTTTAAGGTACCGTACGTATCCAGCCGTGCTGACCAGACTGGTGTGATTGACGAATGCACCACGTGCGCTACTCACTGTGCCAAGCCGCTGGATGTTAATTGCCCACCAGCGAGCACGTGTGGATTCCGATCGGCGAATTTTACGTCGTGATGTGACCTCCTTTAAGCGTGGCCCCGTCCGAATGGTGGCCACCACCACCACGACCACTACGATCACCACGACCACCACCACCATCACCACGACCACCACGACGGCGGCCGTGGCCACGGCGAGTTCGTCGCGCGGTGTGTGGGTGGTGAGTCGATCTCTCGTTCCGCCACTTGAACATTTCAGCACAGCCGAGTGAGGGGGTGATCAAATCCACCACCATCACCACCACCACGACCACCATCACCACGACCACCACCACAATCACCACGGCTCCGGCTGGAGCATGCGTACCACACACGTCGGTGATGTGCACGTCTTCTTCTAACGCTGGGGAGCCGGAAAAGCCCCCTTTGTACCAGCGTGGACGGCACCCTCGTGGTGTTCACCTCCCGATGTTATATTGCTCTAATCCGCTCCCTCGTGTAACCTTAATTAGAACTCACCGCGGTGTCGGGACTTTCACGCTAAATTACAACCGCGTGTTCATTTCACCCACACTCGCAACGCAAACAAAACGGTCTGTTTTTACGTCCGAGTAAATACAAATCAATATTTAGCCAAATGGCTTTTTTAAGTCAATGTTTTTTTTTCCATAGGCGATTGTCCCACTACGACAACACTGGAACAGTCGACTCTGTGTGACGACAGACATCGGCTTCGTTTCCGTCCAGTCCTCGCCGTTCGCCGCAGCTGCCACCGAGCCAGTTTCCGTTGCACCACAGCGCGAACACGACCTCACTCAACACGTCAAACCCCCCGTTTGCTGATGTGCATCGACACCATGCATGTCTTGGGTCCCCTTATGCGGGGAGATTTTTTTTATCTTCCAAACGTTATGGGATGTTCTCGAAATTTGTAATAATACACCCCAACAAAAAGCGACAGTTGGGCATCGAATCGTAATTTTGGATTAACCAAGGGGAAAGAAATAACATCACTTGTAATATCTAAATTCAGCACTTTCGCGCCACCTATTCACGCGGCATTTTAGGTGATTATCACTTTTGTTAGCGCGAACACACACCAGGTTATTATGCAGTCAATTATATAAAAAAATAAAAGATATGAAATTGTCCTTAAAAGTGTTATCATTAAACACAAAACTCATGAAACGATTTGCAATGGAAATACAAAAACAAGTCCTAAATATCCCATCTGAGCAGAAAAATCGAATGAAGCAATTGATAATTTAACTCAATTTTACTTGCCTGCCTAAGACTCAACCTCATGACCGCATCGTGCGATGGTAACTCAGGCGTCTTGCAATTGGGACTGCATCTTCGAATCCTGGTGGAAGGTCAACTCAAGCCCTCTGGGATCAACGAGCACCAATTTGTCGCAAGTCACGCGACAAGACACTTGTAGCCACAGTAGGAATGTGTAATTTCCACCAAGGGCTGTAAACAGGAAAGCACGGTCCCACGCTCGTTTGAGAGGAACACCGCTTGACATGCCCCTTCACTCCTGCAGCACGAGCCGAAGAAAGCAATCAATGCTGCGTGCGGCCAGCGGTCACGTAAACAGCACGGAGGCGTTGAGAAACGTGACAAAATGCCTCGGTGGCTTCATAACAGTGCCAGCAAACGGCGTTACCCGTTGATGAATCATCGGTTCCAAACCGGAAGCGGTTGCAGGTTGACTCGGGGAGGTTAATGCCGGTGCAGGGCACGGAGCAGGCACCCGCTGAGATTCTGGGTACGAATCACGAGTTTCAGACACCCGTGGTTAAACAGGGTTCTTTCGCGTAATAACCAGCGAAACGGCTCAAATGACGGCCCAAAGACTTGTGCCATTGTTAGTGCCAGAAACGTTGGCAAGTTTTTCAGACGAAGGGAAACATTTGCGAAGCTGTGAATCTGGCCCGCTGTGTTTAGGCTTTGCAGCCGGACCGATCTGAACAGTTCTCAAGACGGTCAGGCGGCTCACAGATAAAATTGGAATACAATGAACACAAACTCGGATAAATGTGCGATTGTAATCCACTCTACACAGAAAACTAGATTCATAAAGGATATAAATGTAACCACATCTCAAGACGCTGTACAGAACACACTGGGCATATTTATTTTCGAGATAAGAGAGCTGGGAGTCATTGGCAGAGTAAAAGTGAAAGGTCTTGGGTTTTGGACTTGAACAGGGAATTGAGAGCACGGTTGGTTGGGGGGAGCTCTAAACTTTTAGGAAAGTTTCATCATTAGACCTCCTTTGCCAGTACCAAAATATAATACTAGGGTTTTTCCCCTTTTTTCTGGCAACAAAACTGAAACCTTTTCACAAGGATTCATGTCTGCATTAACCACAATACTTGCAGTCAAAATGAAAAAAAACACTGATAATATATGCATTGTCCTTGAAACTGATTAGGAAAGTTGTACACTAGAAGGGCAGCGGGGAATGAATGAGCTACCTGCCACCGAGAAAAAAAACTGTTTTCCCACCGAAACGCATCAAGCAACACATTTCATAAAGAAGAAGACAGCAGCACACTCGAAATCAAACTCATTTTTTGGAATAAACATCTTTATGTTTGTTTAATTTACAAGGCCGTTTCGCAAAACAGCTAATTGTTGTGTACGCAACGGAGAGCGGGCGAGCTCTCAATCCACACGAGGGTGGCATCTTGCCCGGCAACAGCACCATGGTACACAGGCAGGGGGGGGGGGGGGGTCTCGGATCAGGGGCACACATACAGCACAATGTCCAAGCCTGTCGTCACGACCGTGCCATGCATTTTTACCCGGAACAAGCCGAGATAGCTGTCTGAGAAAAGAGGCAAAGCGTCCATTGCACAGAGTCCCATCTCCATGTCCCATGTACACTGGGCTAATGCCAGACATTACGCAAAGGGGTCGCCGCATCGGCTAGGCGCTGCAAGTCTACTCGCTTACTTTGTTCATGCCTGGCCGTGTGTGGGCACCAAGTGACCTGCAATCACTTTTACAGATATCTACCAAAGCCATCTCCATTCATGTCAACGAAACACTTTGACACGTGAATTATGTAGTTCCCACGTAGCTAATGCACTTAAGACAAACAACACGAGCTCCCAATGATAATGTTGTTATATACTTCATGTCAATCTATCCACTGCTGTCCGCACTTAAAAATGCCAACACTGCATTGGCCATGCAAACGGACGCACCGATTCAACGCCCTGGTAACTTGAATCGAATACCAGACGCGGGAATCGATAAGGTCGTATGAATTTGGTTCACATCACCCCTGCAATTCCTTAGAGGCAGCATATTCACCACCGTGTCAAAGAAAACAAACGATCTTGAATCATGGAATTTCCACAAATAACAAGGTTGGCTTCTCCTATGCACATACCTTGCAAAACTGACTTTCACAAAAGTGAATGGAGATCCCTTTAAAACATCTCTATGAAAGCGAATTCAGGTCAACCCAGTGGCTGGTGCAGTTCCACAAATTGGCCAACCTTAAGGGTCAATTTTTACGGGGTGTAATTTCTGTCATAACGCGAGGGTTTAACTGACACACAAATCCGAATAAACACTCAACCATCAGAGTGGATTAAAACTTCAGTTGCCTGTGCACGTCAAACACGTTCGTATTTCTTTTTTACAAGCGTTTCTTCCTCATCCATGAAAGACGGACAATAATATGTACGCGAATTAAGAGTCCTAATTGGTGGACATACTATTCCCAAATGAGAAGCCGCTTTCACGACTACACCCCAACGATTCCTCACACATCTTTAAAGTGTCCGAAACGTACGTCCGCAATCGTGGAACTGCCCCGTGACTAATGGCGTCTAAGCGGTGTGTTTTGTTATCCGAATGGCCCCACACAGCAGCCCGGAGCCGACGCGAGCCAAGCGTGGGGAGGGGGGGGGTGGCGGGTGTTCTCATACGGCCTTGGCCGGCTTGATTTCGTCCATGTCCACCTCGAGCCAGCGGAAGCGCCGGTGCTTCCGCAGCACCTCGATGGCCTTCTCCTCCACGGAGGTGGGCACCACCCCCAGGTCCTGCAGCGCCAGCAGCTCCGGGTGCAACTTGTCAGTCGTGTGAAGCTGAGTCGCGGCACGGACACGAGCGGGAACATACACAACAGCCGCCAATTCATTCGCCACCAAGTGCTGGCGAGATCTGCGAGGCTCTCATGCCGCAGGGTAGGTGCCCTTTTGAGGATGCCGTCAAGTGTTGTAGAAAGCTTCTGCGTAGATTTTCCCAGTTGCGCTGTACAGCTCTCCGATGCGCATATCCCGAAAATACATTGGAGAGCTGTCCAAGGCTCGCTTGGAGGACGTAAAACACGCACGGGCGGCCGTGTACACAGGCACACGTACGCACTCCTCCAATTCACGTGTGCGAAAACATGACATGAAGACAAATGCTTTGTTTCAATGACTAGTAGTAGCTATGGTGGCACGGCACTTGCATTGGGCCAGGCGAGGTGAACATCTTAAACATGAGCACACAGGAGGCATGCTGTAAATAAAAGCGCCATAAGTTGTACTCCTTTCGTTTTTTCTAGTTTTTTGTTGTAACTTTCTGACCTGCCCCTACCGGACATCTGTGAAAAAGAGCTTCATAGCTCATCGGATTTCTCTAGGATAAAAAAAGATTCCGATTCTTAGCAGGCCATCAATAATTATTACCAGCAGAGGGCAAAACTGTTGCTATTCACTCACACCACTCATGCTGAAGGAAGCAATGTGACGAAAAGCCACCGACTCCAAAGTGAACGCCTCCCGAGTGCCAAGCACTCACAAGTCACAGGAGGGGAATGCGTCAAACTCACCCTGTCCACCTTATCCCGGGTTGTCCACGGCTCGAACGGCACCAGCTCGAAGCAGCGGGCGATGAGGCTGGGGGAACAGCGCACGCTCAACTCGGTGGCGACTCTCGCCAGCGCAATGAGGGAACACACCTCGTGTGGCATGGATCAACACCGCCAAGGGACGAGCGTCGACGCCACGGCGCTTGGTGACGCTTAAGAGGCATCGCGCGTGCATTATGCACCAACTCTGACGCTGCACGGTTCAAATCGTGCCAAGGCTTGGCGATTTAGATTTTATGCAAATCGTATAAAAATGTTCGCTTCAAAAGTTGAACAAACAAACGGGACCGACAACACACGCAAAAAGCGCAGCGAAGAAAATCGATTCTGGAATTGCATCCCCTTGAATGGTGACAAATCGTTCAGTTGTGGGGGCTGTGTGAATTGTTGCATAGCTAATTGTTCAACATAGCAACACTTGTGAGGTGTAAGGCACTTCTTGTTCATGACAAGCTCCAGGATGAGCAGTGTGTTTTCTAGCCTGACGCAGTCATGCCTTAGATGTTGTATGACGAGGGACTGACTTTGCTCGGCAATACCTTAGCCAAGAGGCAGGAAGCAGGCAATCACTCACTGGTAAAGCGGCCGAGGCATGCTGTAGGGCACGAACGGCCGGTACGCCACGGCAAAGATGTACTTCACTAGCTCCAGCAGCTCGTAGCGGCCAGGCCTAGGGGTGGGGGTAGGACACGCGAGACAATTTAAGGGGGACGAACAGAGCGCACCAGGTTGTTGCGCGACATTCATGGGCAGCGGATTGCACTGGCTGAAATTGTTATCGAATCGCAGTGGCATCCTGCCTCATTACGACAGGGCAGGAAGGGTGCGATACAATAGCCGATCAAAAGATCCGTGGGTCACATTCAGTAAGTGCTGATGTTTTAAACAGCAAACCAGATACTCAAATGTTTAAGGCCGATTTGGTTTTGAAGAGGCCTAGAACTGATTCTGATATCACTGGCCACTAAAATTTAAGCTGTGGCTGTGAATCGGGCTGATAGCGCAGGTCGTTAACCACTACGCCACCTACAGACACACGGACATGCCGTCTCATACAAGCATTCCCAGCAGACTTAGCGGACAGTCACACCTCATTCGAACATTCGCCACAGACCTTACTGAAACACACAGCCAATATCTCCTAGACACAACTGTGCTTCACAAATTTTTGAAAACTAATTTCTTCAGAACCATTTTTTGTCCACAGTTTGTCGTCCTTTCCCCGCACCTCCGATTAGCACAGTTGGTATCCATACAGTGCGAAAGAAGTTCAACGTACATATATACATTCACCACAGACCCTGGAGACACACAGCCAATGTCTCCTACAGACACAATCATGCCTCACACACATTCGCAACAGCCCCTGCCAGACACAGTCCCACCTGACACATTCACCGCGGACCCCGACAGCGTGTGCGCATGGGCGAGCCGCTACATGGACCTCACCCGCTGAGTGCGTAAGTCTTGCCTAGGACGTTTTCACTGTGCGCTGCGTTCACGATAGCTTGGGCCACGTCCGACACCTGGAGACGCAACGTGTGAATACAAAACGGTTCTCACGGCTGGCGGCCACAACTTCCTTGCACTCCTGTCCGAGTTATTCTTATCTTACATTTCACACCGTGAATTGCGGAGTGAGGAGCAGCTAATAACCAAATATTTAATACATGTCGTTTATTTTATTCGGAAGTGCAGCAAGTCCGCAATACGATAATCTGCCTAAGGTTAAATGAGAGTTAAGTGGATTACAAAGCAGGGTGGTGCTGTAGAGCGTACGTACGTAGACTGGCTGCTTGATAGTCATCTTCCCCTTTGCAATGAGAGGCAGCCCTCCAAACAAGAGCATATCTGTACAAAGACAAATGTGTTGACTTCATAAGTGGTGCGGCTCTCTCTTTTCATGGTGCAAGTGGTGGTGGTGTGGTGCAGAGTAGTGTTTCTCAACCCCGGGCCTCGCGTTTCCATGATTACCAACTATCAGGTGTGTAATCTTGATTTGAAGCATTCGTGACTGCAGGAATCCATACTCTTTTGGTTCGTTCGGTAAAGTCACGGAGGTAGAAAAAAATAATAGATCACGACGTGATCGATCAATCGTCTACAGGCGAGAAAGAGAAACAGGCTGCTTGTTTCTCTCTCCCACCTGAAGACGATTGCTTGTGTGGCGATCGAAACGTCGTGTTCTATTATTTTTTCTACCTACGTGACTTTACCGAAAGAACCCAAGAGTATCAGGTGTGTGCGGTATGCGATGGCTTCGTCTGCATGTGAATAGAATAGGCCAGTGATCGTGCAAAAGCGGATTGTAACAGGGCACATGAATGGCACCAACTCTAATCGCTGGAACGGACGCGCGTTAACGGCACGTACACTCAGTACGGGCAATAAGTGGCGACAGCAGCCCTGGATGCAAGACTCTGTCCAAATGGGGCATTGAGTTCACAGGCGGAGCAGAAAATGAAACCCACGTATTGATCAGTGGCAACCTGCAATGCTGTGTGGGCTGTGTTGCGCCATTGCCTGGAATTGATGGTGTGTAATGAACCAACCAGTGCATGATCATTTGTTGTGTGGGGCCGTGCGTCGATTTTCCCACCCTCTGGACACGGGCTTGACTGAGACGAAAAAGCAAACTGGACTGAGCGGCGTTGGGTTCGCTCACTTGCAAAGTGATTGAAGTACTTGTCCTCTCTGCCGAACATGTCCGAGGGCTTCAGGATGGTGGCGTCGGGGAAAGCTTCGCGCACGGCCTTCTCGCCCAGACACTGCACATGCGGCAAATGCGCCCGACATCAACGGTGAGAAACGACCACTGCTCGTCAACACAAAATAGAGACAGCCGCCGCCACGGCTGCCGCCGCCCTCGAAACCCCAACAAGCACAATCCCCTCTTCTCTGAGAAAACACAAGAAGAGACAAAGACCCCCGTATTGTCATACACACCGTTGCAGCAGGTGCCGTTGGCGAGTACCTATTAAAGCCGGTAGGGCACACGGCGAGATAGTGGTGTGCGGCTAGCACCACTGCTTGGCCACATTTGTCTCCCGAGTGCTGATTTTGTTAACGCCGAAACTGGTACTGATTAATGGCGAGTGAACAAAAGTGAAGGCTCGGACATAGGCAATCCGTACGACTATAAACGCAGAAACCGCTCTTCCACTCGACTCTCGAGCCCCAAACGAGCAGGGTCGGGTAGCACACAAAGAACATCAAACAACAATAAGTCATAAAACAATACGGTCTGAAAATATTCACTACGAGTTTTACATTTGTTTAAAACTCTCTTACCATTCTGCTAAGTTTAAGAAGCTTGAGGTTACCCTGTGCACGGCAGTCTTAATACGGGCTGTAATGGCTTGTAATAAAAATTAAGGGTAGGACAAAAAAATCGGTATGTTTGAAATGCAGACATGTGACAACTAATCTTTAGCAGGGGGCAAATACGGAAGCCAATGTGGATGAGGTGACCTGATGAATTTATTTCAGTGAGAGTTCTGCGATGTCATCTCCTGGGGCAGGGCTTCAAGTTCCCAGTGTAAACTTCCTTGTCACACGACGTGAGGCTGACAACAACAAACACTGAAGAAAGGGCTTGACAAATTAAGGAAGCTTCAAACACATAGCCAAGGTGTGTATCTATCTACAAGAGGTTTGTTGCTCAAGACCCTCCATTCCTACCCTGCCTCTCAATATTCCCAGTTTCTGTATGACAGCATCTTCATATGCAGCTGAATTTAGATGCCGAAAAAATAACAAACTATGGTGCATTACACTGGTGGCTGTCTCACCTTTGTGCGCAGATACTTGGAGGCGCTGCGGATGTCGGCGTTGAGGTGAGACACATGGATCAGCTTGGGAACGCCGGCCTCCTTGGCGGCCAGAGCGATGTCTCGTGCCGCCACGACATGCACATCATCAAACGAGTTGTTCCTGCCAACAGGTTCAACAGCGGCAGCAATTCACTTCGAACACTGGGATTACGCTACAGGTATTAGAATGAACCCTCTCACATTGCGAGATGACTACAGGCTGCAGGGTGGGTCCCATTCACCGCTGAATATCGGAACGCACAAGCGGTTCAGCGTTAATTGTGTTTTAGAGAGGCAATAGCGCTGTTGTTTTTAAAAGACATTGTTCTCACCGCAGAGAACTGTAGCGACAGGACTGCACTCTACTACAGCTGGCGCCAAACCGTGCCATACACCCTCCCGCATGGCCTTGTGGGAACCTTGGTACCGATAAAGTTATTGTTTTCTTTCGGCCCCGTTTCGATGACGTCATCAAACAGAATTGTAAAAAAAACTGATGTCATCTCTTTGAGCTGCTCATCAAATGTACGTCATCAGAACAAGAACGGGTTAAAGTGTGGATTTATTATCATCATCAGCAACATGGCTGGATGAAGGCCTTACACGGATTATTCAATGTATGCATGGTGAGTGTAGTAAAAGGGTTTATTCAGCCAATCAATGCACTGTTGCATCCCTAATGAAGTGCACCACCCTCTTCCCACACCTTTACCTGGTCTCCCAGCCCTGCCCACAAATGTTGATGACCACATTGGAGTGCTGCACGGCCTTTCGGATCGACTCCTGGTCTTTCATCGACCAATCCTGGAACAACCAAAAGCAAAGTTACTTCTATAAGATTTTTGTATTCACGTTTAAGGTTTGCTATTTTATAATAAATAATATTTATTCAGAAATGGAAACTGTTCTCATTATGTCTTCCCCTACTATATCACATCGGTGCCTTAAACTTTGACAATAACTACTTCATATAAATAATATATTTTTACAAATGGTTTCATTTAAAAGAGTACATTTGTAAATTTTCTTAAATTAAAGTCAATCATTCTGTTCTCCACTACTCTGAAGTTGGGGCCATTACCTGAAATCTTATCCTGTTTTATTGTGATAAGTGTTTCTGATGAACAAGACAAAAATTTGTTGATTATCTGATTAAGCATTCCAGAGCTGATAAGTAAAACGTAACAATGGTTATGATAAACCAAAGGCAAAGTGGTAGCAGGTCAACTATTGACTCGGTGGCTGACTCCGAACACTGCCACCTCGTGGCATCACACTGCACACGACACGACTGTCTACAGGGTGAAAAATAATTGCAATTCGTGCTCTTTGTCAATCAACTAATGGGTGAAGGACTCCCTAAATCGGTTGTGATAGCACCACTACACCGCCACTCCCCTCTGCTGATATATGCTACACTGTAATACGAGGCTGCCAATTAACTAACGACAGCCTGTAACCTCTGGGGGTCAGTGTGCTTGTTTAAACATGTAAGCGTACCGAGGGCACTTAAAGTATATATTCTGGTGTCACTGCTCAGGAGACTGCCTGGAATGGTATTCCAAGCTACGGTGTCATAAGTGCCAGCAGCAGCTTAACCTTACCATGAAAATCAACTGCCCCAGATCGCCCATTGGCTTAAGGTGCATCACGTCGTAGGCATCACAGCGATAGGGGATAATGATCTGCGCTCCCTCGCGACCTGATGAGGCAAAAAGGGGAAAAAAAAGTTTACAATGGACTACACCCTCGGACCTCAGATATAACACACCACCTTAAAAATGAAAGCCTGTCAATGGATCTATCTATCATCCCGCAGACACATACAATTTCTGACACTGAATACACATGCCTGTTTCTCCCTCTCCTGCTCCTTCAGATCAAGCCTGCCATCCAGCTGAGCCTCGTAAATGCTGATTGCGAGGCAAATCCTTGAATCTAATTGGATTAGACTGGAAACAGAGCTCCATACGTAACGTCCAATTAGTTCCCTTTTCACTTCGATGGGCTCTGTGCCTCTCAATCCAATTGAGATGCTGAGGAAAATTCAGACTGCTAATGACAACAATCTCCTTTGCTATGTAAAAATGGTCTCTTTACTTAAGTTAAAGGTCTGGTGTGGACCAACTTATTTTCAAGGAATTTATCATTTGAGTAGCATCTTATCATTTGAGTCGCATATAATGCCCACTCAGCGGGATGACTGACCAATGTAACAATCTCCTTGCAGTAATCAAAATGTCTCGGCGTCTTAAAATGACCAGTGCGTCTCAAAAAAGTGATCAGGTTGTTTGACAACGAAGCCGTTTGTTGGTTTAGGTCGTGGCTGCTATCACCAGCTCACCGAGTTTGTTGACGACGTAGCGCCCAAGGAAACCCGTCGCACCAAACACGGTGGCGACAACGCCGCTGAAGGAGGAGCGGCCCCCGCGCCCGCGTGGCATCACAGCCTGGTGGGTGGCACGGGACGGAGGCGACGTCCGCGGGCCGGAGAAGGGAGGCCCCGTGAGAAGCGCCGCCCCGGGACCCGCGGACACGGGGGGCCAAGCCCCGACGCCTGCAAGAGACACCCGTCCCACCCATGATGGCAACTACAGTGGTGGTGGTGTCATCACCATCAACAGGGACGGCTGCTCGGATCAAGCGGAACAGTGACAAGAACAACAATGCGCAGGTAGGCGGGCGAATAGCGTAGCGTGCTCACACGCCTGAGCCACCGCACCACCCGAGTTATGCAATATTTAATTCAAAATAAACGTTGTACAAAGCAATGTCCTCAAAGATATTCGCATTGAAATATTGGGAGACAATGTAAACTCAAGTCTTCCACTGCCGACTTGGAAATATAATTGATAACGGCGAGTTTTGTGAAAATTGTAATAAAAAGTCAAATATCTCACTGGTATTGGTGGCTGTCAAAACAGAGAGGTCTGGCTCTCATCATTGGGATGTGGAATTTGCACCACCGACCAATGGGGACGAACATCTCTCAACGCTCCTAATGAGCACTGAGATGCTGACGTGGTCGTATTGTTATTTAGTACTTGGCCAACTTTTGTGTCACTTATGTGTCGATTCACTGCTAGATGAAGGTCGCCGCCCGACGTCGTGTCGGCCATGGTGTTTGTTTCCCATATTCCCCACGCTGATCAGTGTGGGTTGGTGAACCTAGGGGATCCCAGTACTATACCGGTTTATACCAATACCCGCTATTCGCCACTAAGTGACGGTGACGTCACCACGGCGCCTGTGCCAGGCCAGGTGCACTTTGAGGCCACGTGAAGTGTCGAAGGCTCGCTCTATGGAGGAGGCTCGTGAAGGACGCTACTGGGCATTTGGAGACAGTCGCCCTCCAGCAACAACGGAGGGCAGAGGAGCGACGCCCACAACAACAAGCGAAGTGCGGCTAAAACACAGCAAGTTGGCACAGTCGGGGGTACAGCTGGTGGTGCATCTGTCAGTCATCTCAGTCAGCCAGCCCATGGCACCTGGGTCTGTCCCGATACCTCCTGTCAGCGAGCATTCCACCGGTTTATATGTCACTCACACACTGACATTCGCCGTGCACGGGAGTCAAACTCGGCTCACCGGGTTGAGAGTGCAGTGCGCTAACCAATTCGCCACCGCTTCACCTCCATAGCGAGGCAGTAGTTTGGTATAACGACGTCTACAACAAGACTGAGAGCGGCGCTCTGGGGGTATTCAGCCGTGGACTTTCCCCACATCTCGACACCAACGTTATCTCCCGCGGAGGGTTGAAAACTTCACTAGTTGCAAAACAAGACACACGTATAACGATGCAACGGCACTTACCCTACCGTTATAGCGCCGCGATAATAAGGCCGTAACAACAAGGCAACACTTTGCATGACTGTATACGGCTTGCAATGAATATCACCCGTCAAGACGACCTAGGCTTCGGTCTAAACAAGGCCCCAGGTCAGGCACAACTGAACTCCGTAACTCAACGGCGACGCAGGCCGCGCGCGACCCCTCGGCCTCAACCTCACGCAACTCAACTTTACAAGCTGGAGCCTGGAAAGGCGAACAACGACAACGAAGGCGGGGGGGGGGGCGCCGCCGAGGTGACTCTTACTTGACATTGCCCGCACGGAGCGCCCGGGAACTCGCATCACGGCGGCCATGTTGGTGCTCTCCCAGCATGCACCGCGCGGCGGGGGAGGGAGGGAGGAGGTGGGGGAGAAGGAGGGGGTTGGAGGAAGAAGGTGGAGAGGAGGGAGGGAGGGGAGGAGGGGGAGGGAGGGAGGGGAGGAGGGGGAGGGAGGGAGGGGAGGAGGGGGAGGGAGGGAGGGGAGGAGGGGGAGGGAGGGAGGGGAGGAGGGGGAGGGAGGGAGGGGAGGAGGGGGAGGGAGGGAGGGGAGGAGGGGAGGGAGGGAGGGGAGGAGGGGGAGGGAGGGAGGGGAGGAGGGGAGGGAGGGGGAGGAGGGGGAGGGAGGGAGGGGACGAGGGGGAGGGAGGGAGGGGAGGAGGGGGAGGGAGGGAGGGGAGGAGGGGGAGGGAGGGAGGGGAGGAGGGGAGGGAGGGAGGGGAGGAGGGGAGGGAGGAGGGGAGGAGGGGAGGGAGGGAGGGGAGGAGGGGGAGGGAGGAGGGAGGAGGGGGAGGGAGGGAGGGGGAGGAGGGGGAGGGAGGGAGGGGAGGAGGGGGAGGGAGGGAGGGGAGGAGGGGGAGGGAGGGAGGGGAGGAGGGGGGAGGGAGGGAGGGGAGGAGGGGGAGGGAGGGAGGGGAGGAGGGGGAGGGAGGGAGGGGAGGAGGGGGAGGGAGGGAGGGGAGGAGGGGGAGGGAGGGAGGGGAGGAGGGGGAGGGAGGGAGGAGGGGGAGGAGGGAGGGAGGAGGGGAGGGAGGGAGGGGAGGAGGGGGAGGGAGGGAGGGGAGGAGGGGGAGGGAGGGAGGGGAGGAGGGGGGAGGGAGGAGGGGAGGGGAGGGAGGGGGAGGGGAGGGAGGGGAGGGAGGGGAGGGAGGGAGGGGAGGAGGGGGAGGGAGGGAGGGGAGGAGGGGGAGGGAGGAGGGGGAGGGGAGGGAGGGGGAGGAGGGGGAGGAGGGAGGGAGGAGGGGAGGGAGGGAGGGGAGGAGGGGAGGGAGGGAGGGGAGGAGGGGGAGGGGGGAGGGGAGGAGGGGAGGAGGGAGGGGAGGGAGGGGGAGGGAGGGGAGGGCGGAGGGGGGAGGGAGGGAGGGGAGGAGGGGAGGGAGGGAGGGGAGAGGGGGAGGGAGGGAGGGAGGAGGGGGGAGGGAGGGAGGAGGGGTAGGGAGGGAGGGGTGAGGAGGGGGAGGAGGGAGGGGAGGAGGGGGAGGGAGGGAGGGGAGGAGGGGGAGGGAGGGAGGGATGGAGGGGAGGGAGGGAGGGAGGGGAGAGGGGAGGAGGGGGAGGGGAGGGAGGAGGGGGAGGGAGGGAGGGAGGAGGGGAGGGAGGGAGGGGGAGGAGGGGGAGGGAGGGAGGGGAGGAGGGGAGGGAGGGAGGGAGGGAGGAGGGAGGGAGGGAGGGGAGGAGGGGGAGGGAGGGAGGGGAGGAGGGGAGGGAGGGAGGGGAGGAGGGGGGAGGGAGGGAGGGGAGGAGGGGGGAGGGAGGGGAGGGAGGGGAGGAGGGGAGGGAGGGGAGGGAGGAGGAGGGAGGGGAGGGAGGGAGGGAGGGGGAGGGAGGGAGGGAGGGAGGGGGGAGGGAGGGAGGGAGGAGGGGAGGGAGGGAGGGGAGGAGGGGAGGGAGGGAGGGGAGGAGGGGGAGGGAGGGAGGGGAGGGAGGGGGAGGGAGGGAGGGAGGAGGGGAGGAGGGAGGGGAGGAGGGGAGGGAGGGAGGGGAGGAGGGGAGGGAGGGAGGGGAGGAGGGGAGGGGAGGGAGGGGGAGGGAGGGAGGGAGGGAGGGGGAGGGAGGGAGGGAGGGAGGGGGAGGAGGGAGGGAGGGAGGGGAGGAGGGAGGGAGGAGGGAGGGGGAGGGAGGGGGGAGGAGGGGGAGGGAGGGAGGGGAGGAGGGGGAGGGAGGGAGGGAGGAGGGGAGGAGGGAGGGAGGAGGGGAGGGAGGGGGAGGGAGGGAGGGGAGGAGGGGGGAGGGAGGGGAGGGAGGAGGAGGGAGGGGGGAGGGAGGGGAGGAGGGGGGAGGGAGGGAGGGGAGGAGGGGGAGGGAGGGAGGGGAGGAGGGGGAGGGAGGGAGGGGAGGAGGGGGAGGAGGGAGGGGAGGAGGGAGGGGAGGGAGGGGAGGAGGGGAGGGAGGGAGGGGAGGAGGGGGAGGGAGGGAGGGGAGGAGGGGGAGGAGGGAGGGGAGGAGGGGGAGGGAGGGAGGGGAGGAGGGGAGGAGGGAGGGAGGGAGGGGAGGAGGGAGGGAGGAGGGGAGGGAGGGAGGGAGGGAGGGAGGGGAGGAGGGGAGGAGGGGAGGGAGGGAGGGAGGGAGGGAGGGAGGAGGGGGAGGGAGGGAGGGAGGAGGGGGAGGGAGGGAGGGGAGGAGGGGGAGGGAGGGAGGGGAGGAGGGGAGGGAGGGGAGGAGGGGGAGGGAGGGAGGGGAGGAGGGGGAGGGAGGGAGGGGAGGAGGGGGAGGGAGGGAGGGGAGGAGGGGGAGGGAGGGAGGGGAGGAGGGGGAGGGAGGGAGGGGAGGAGGGGGAGGGAGGGAGGGGAGGAGGGGGAGGGAGGGAGGGGAGGAGGGGGAGGGAGGGAGGGGGAGGAGGGGGAGGGAGGGAGGGGAGGAGGGGAGGGAGGGAGGGGGAGGAGGGGGAGGGAGGGAGGGGAGGAGGGGGAGGGAGGGAGGGGAGGAGGGGGAGGGAGGGAGGGGAGGAGGGGGAGGGAGGGAGGGGGAGGAGGGGGAGGGAGGGAGGGGGAGGAGGGGGAGGGAGGGAGGGGAGGAGGGAGGGAGGGGGGAGGAGGGGGAGGGAGGGAGGGGAGGAGGGGGAGGGAGGGAGGGGAGGAGGGGGAGGGAGGGAGGGGAGGAGGGGGAGGGAGGGAGGGGAGGAGGGGGAGGGAGGGAGGGGAGGAGGGGGAGGGAGGGAGGGGAGGAGGGGGAGGGAGGGAGGGGGAGGATGGAGGAGATAGGAGAGGGTGGGTGGGAGGGAGGAGATAGGAGAGGGTGGTGGGAGGGAGGGATAGGAGGGAGGAAGAGGAGGGAGTTGGGAGGAGGGGGTAGGAGGAGGGAGGATGGAGGAGATAGGAGAGGGTGCGCGGGAGGGAGGGGGAGAGGAGGGAGGGGAGGAAGAGGAGGGAGTTGGGAGGAGGGAGGAGGAAGGAGGGGGTGAGGAGGGAGGGGGTGAGGAGGGAGGGGAGGAGGTGGGGGAGAAGGAGGGGGTTGGAGGAGGGAGTTGGGGGAGGGAGGGGTAGGAGGATGGAGGGAGGGGGAGGATGGAGGAGATAGGAGAGGGTGGGAGGGAGGGGGAGAGGAGGGAGGGGAGGAAGAGGAGGGGGCTGGAGGAAGGAGAGGGAGAGGAGGGAGTTGGGAGGAGGGGGGAGGAAGGAGGGGGTGATTAGGAGGGAGGGGGAGCGGGGTGCGGGGGGAGGAGGGCGGGGGACAAAAGAGGGAGGGCGGAGGGAAGGAGGTTGGGGGGGGGGTAAAGAGATAAAGGCGCAGCTCTGCAGTCGCTTGCTGACGTCACTGCTGGTGGAAGGTTCCTCTGCGGCTCGACGGGGGCACGCTACAGTGTCATCGTCTCGAGCAAGTGGTTCTTCACCTTCACTGCAGCCTTGCAACCCCTTTGGTTCTCAATCGTTAAAATGTTTTTTACAAAGTTAATAAATACACAGGCGTGATGAAACCAAGCAGCTGTGCTTACGTGGCCGTGCTTAATTTGTGTCTCGATGATTTTACCTTCTCGCACAAATCTGGCCGTGTCTCGCACGCGCGTGAAGGGCATCTCGCACCCCCAAGGGGGTGCAGCGTGCACACCCCATGCAGGTGAAGGACCACTGCTCGAGATCCAGGGGTCGGCCACGTGCGGTGAGCCGGAGGCGCATGCGGCTCTTTGAGGACTTCGTTCGTGACGTTATTTAGGGGCCGTCCATAAATGACGTCACGCGATTTTGGACGATTTTTAACCCCCCCCCCCCCTCGTCACACGGCGTCACAAAAAGTCAGACCCCCCCCCCCCTTAAATATGACGTCACAAAGCTCTGCCCCCCCCCCAAACCATATTTCCCTTTTGAAAATAAAACATGCTTCGAATCGATAATTGGCTTTTTACCCTTTTATTTGGCAACAAAACTGACACATTTTTTTTACAAGGAGTCGTGTTTGCATTGATCACAATACCTGCGGTCGGAATGCAAAAAATCACAACTCTGATAATGTATGCACTGTCCTTGAAGAAATGGATTGGTCCACACCCGAGACAGCTATTCTTAGAGCCCAGGTCTCACATGGTGTTGGACCAGATGACGCCCTACGGCGCACAACTCAAAGACAATGCACCATCAGAGTATGAGAACTCGGGGTAAGCATTTACACCATTGCAACCTCCTTTGCCAGTAGCAAAATACGATAACTGTTATTTTACCCTCTTATCTGGCAACAAAACTGACACCTTTTTTTACAAGGAGTGCGCCTTTTGGCGTTATCTGGTCCAACACCATGTGAGACTAGGCTCTTAGAAAAGCTGTCTCGGGTGTGGACCAATCGATTTCAAGGACAGTGCATACATTATCAGAGTTGTGTTTTTTGTTTGCATTCTGACCGCAGGTATTGTGGTCAATGCAAACATGACTCTTTGTAAAAAAAGGTGTCAGTTTTGTTGCCAGATAAAACGGTAAAAAAACAATTATCATATTTTGCTACTGGCAAAGGAGGTTGCAATGATGATGCTTCAAATCGCTTTAAACTATTGTCATTGTAGTGCGTATTTAATGTGGCGCTGCACTCTGATGTTGTAGGAGTGTTTTTATAACAATTAGTCTTGTTATAACAATTCTATATTTATTTAAAGTTGCGCATTTTGACGTGACGTCACATTTCTCAAACCCCCCCCCCCCTCATCACACATCGTCACAAATGTCTGACCCCCCCCCCCCAGGTGCGTGACGTCATTTATGGACGGCCCCTTATTCAGGACGACCGTTTCGTGTTCACCTTATTTTGGTTGCTGACCCCTGATCTAAACACTCGAGTGTATTCGGCCTACTCTTCCACGCTAGAGAGGGGTGGGGGGTGACCCCTGCCTTCAACCAGCACCCCCACTGAAAGCGCTGTTTCTCGCCGCATCTCTGCGTTTACGTATTACACCGTACGTGTTGAACTTCTTTCGCACCGTACGTGACCAACCGTGCGAATCGGAGGTTCAATTGTTACTGTTTCTCAGTGTTTGTTTCTTCCCGTAAATCCCACCCCTCTTGCACCATTTGCTCGGGGCTTAGTTCTCTCAGCGTTTAGACAGCGATAGTCAAGAGGTCGTTAAGCAACTCATGAATGTGTAGTGTTGTAAAGGACGGACAAATGATACCAATGTAGTGTTGTAAAGGACGGACTTCTAAACTTCTTTATGGCACACACTGTTTATTATCTTTATACACAGTCCCTACCACACTAAGGGGTATATGGTCCCCTCACCCGTTACCCTGAGGAGACACAGCCTCCGGACCTTGCAGGCTATCTAATCTCCCTGCTCTCCCAGCGTCCTCTGGCTGGACCTAGGGGATCTCTCCCCGACCACTGGTTACACTGAGCCCTAGCCCTGATAAGGGCTGGAGGGCTTGGTCCAGGGTCCTAGATGTCTTCGGCCGACTTGGGTCTTTGTGTAGCAGAACTCCTCCAGAGCTCTCACCGCTCTGGCTTTTATACCTGTTCGTGGCCGGGTTGTCCAATCCCCGGCCACCTTGTGGGACCCTCTGATTGGTCCTTCCCAATCTGGCGTTTGGATCCTACCTCACCCCATTTGACCCTGACCGTTTGATTGAGCGGGAAACCCTTGTTTACGATCCGCTCTCTCACAGTTAGCGAACAGCGAGTAGTTAACACCACTACATAAATGCAACGGCACCTCGCCTTCGCTTCCTTCCTTCTGCTAGATCCCGCAGCTGTCTCGTTAACTTGCCCTCCTCCAACCGACATGAGTTTGCCACCCATCTCACGCTCTTCATGATTACATCTAGAGTTCTTTCAAATCACATTCTATTCCCAAACTTGTGTGCTATCCTTCGTCTTGCACACGTGTCACAACCTCATCTTCATGATTCACGTTCTATTCTCAACCGCCAAGTTGCTTACCCACTCCTCCATGACAACCAACTCTGCCGGATTAGATTGTTAGTCATAATTGCCGACCAACATCTATCAACTGCGAGATGACGGTCTCCTGGTCACGTCTTAACACAAGTGTCGAGTTATATTTGAGCCACCCCTGACCAACTCCTTCACCGACCTGCACTGGAGCGTCTGTGATCCACCAGTGGAATGACAACATTTTTATGTATTTAAAATTAAAATAAAACTATCAGCCCGCAAATCCTTTGGACGTGACCCCTGCCTTCAGCCAGCAATTTTTTTTTCCAAATATAGTATGATGTTGACCTCATAACTACATTATTAGACCACATCATGAATGCAATGTGGCATATTCTGTGAAAAACGTAATAATTATACAGCTGTATTTTAAAACGAAGTGCACAAATGTGAAATCGGTCACGTATGCTCGCATGACGTTTTTGGACAATAAATCACGAGGTTTTGTCCTTAGATGTTGCAATGTTTTTTTCCAATCTTGGTAATATTATTTTCCCAACGCAAGACAGGTTTCAGCTAGTGTATGTGTTGAGTGCAAACGTTTACGTGGATTGCCAATTGCACCGTTCCACCCTGTAGGTTACTAGGTGGCAATGTGTTACCCAAGTGTCCACATGGGTTGTGGATACTTGGTGGGGTTTAGTCAAATAACTTTGAGTGGATTAGGGCGAAAGGAATAAAGGGTCAAAAATGAAGAGACACGGAGGAAGCCAAGAGTGCGACCCTTTTAGAGTCGCTGGTAAACTAGAACACATTCCTGCGGAGGGAGCTGGTAGGAACGTTGGGTTGCTCGGTCAATGGCCAGGGTCAACGGCGGCGTGGTGTATTCCGCAAATATGCCCGACTGTGAGGGCGGGCACAAGCCGGCGTGAGTAGGTTAAACGTTGAGTTTTATAAGGGCACCACGGGGTGACCAGCCCCTCCATACCTAGCCCCACCCCTCCCAGCCCCACCCTCCCCACCCAGCCCCTCCCCACCCAACCCCACCCTCCCCACCCAGCCCCTCCCCACCCTCCCCTCCCTACCCAGCCCGTACCTTCCCACCCAGCCCCTCCCTGCACGACGGACGGACACAAGAATCCCCTGTGGGCTGGTGTAACCAGGAGATCCCTACCAGTAATAGGCACGCCACTAGAATTAGCTATAGCAAGAGGTGGACTGTATATGGTGTGCCGGTTCCGTAAAATTTTTACGGGTCACTGGCCCGGCTGACATTAAGCCCTGCCCATCCCAGTCGAGCTGAAAGAAAGTTGACTCAGAGCATGTCCCGCGAGGGAAAACCACAACGGATAAATGTGATGAACGTGGAAGCACGGAGGAAGAGACCAGGATGCAGGCGAAGACAAGTCGCGGTGCCACGCGGTGAACCGGAATGTGAGGGACTATGGAATGGAAGCGGGAGATGATGGCCCAGGACAGGAATGAGTGGAGCAAGAGGACCAGAAGGTGGGAACCCACATGGGTATGGGAAATTCCAGGAAAATGTGAACGAATAAAGTGACAATGCATATTCTTAGGTTTTTTCGGTAAAGTCACGTAGGTAAAACATTAAAATTAATAAAAGTAAAATAAAATAAAAATCACGACGTTTCGGAGGCAACACAAGCTTCCGTCTTCAGGTGGAACCGTCACAGCCACGACAGCTGTATCAAGTAAATGAGAGATTGCAGGAGTTGCCTCCGAAACGTCGTGATTTTTATTTTATTTTACTTTTATTAATTTTAATGTTTTACCTACGTGACTTTACCGAAAAAACCTAAGAATATGAATCCTTGCAGTCACGAAAGCTTCAAATCTAGAATTAATGACAATGCATAGTTGCTGTGAGGAAGTTGAATTGACAAAAATCTAAATATTCTATGACAGTACCTACAATTTTAATTGATGGCACGGCTTCTTATGGCACAGCCAATTGGGCTTAAGACGATAAAATTGCCTATTATAATAACAATTACATTCTCGTATTTCCAGCACAGCCACGCTTTAATCTCGGCGAGCTAGTGTATGGTGACAGGGAGTTTTCCAACATTTGCGTGATCCACCAACCCCTACGTCCACACGTGCTGGATTAGAGGCCACGTGTGTTGCCACCACCGCCCGACATTTATATGAATTGTTTCAGTCTGAGATCTAGACTGATACACGACATTCTGTCATGTTACTTTTTGGTTGGAGTGGAAATTCTCCTTCAAATAGATCAAAGGTAATTTATAGTTTCGACAAAGTGAGTTTTAGCGAGCAGGACGAAGAGAAATGAAAGTTGAAATAAAGCGGAGGTGACATATGAGGATATGTGGAAATGTTAACCTCGATGTGTGTTGACAGCGATAATGCACAAACACAAGGCGATGAAAGCAGAAAAGGTCACACCACACACATTAATTTATTCGCAAGAAGGAAAACATGGCTTGACAGCCAAAGCATATACTGTAAGTGTAATCACAAAAATCCAAACGTAAAAACACATTTGAACACCTGCATTCATAGTCGTCATCCCTTGACCATTACCAAGATGCAAACAACACACTACCATAATTGCTGCAATCCGCCCTCAAGGTTATATCAACACAGCACCACCGAATCCTCTTTCAGCTCTTCGTCAAATCCACTGCTGATTGAAGGCCTCCCCATGCCGTGTCAGTCACAGGGGTCGTTTGACCATGTCACCACGTTGGCCATTCACCAGGTTCACAATTTATAGCATAAATCTCGGTCTAATTGGGAGTTAAATTGGCTCATCATACCTTCAAGGTCAATCAAATGAATACCACTGTGTTGACGGTAAATGGTGGTTATCCTCTGGTCAGGCTAGCCCAGCCATAGAAACGTGGAATTTCTACCACTGGATCAAGGGCCACCAACGAAGAACACCAACCACCTCATTGCTAGTTTGAACAGAAAGACAAGTCAACTTTATTAAGTAACCATTCTATCAACGATTTTTTTTTCCTTCATTCCTCTCTGAATCACTCTAATAGCAGTACTACTGTTTTATAGCAATTTATGTTCTCCACTTTCACAAAATCCATATTCCACCTACCACAAACCCTTCCATAAACATACCATGTATATATAGTACATCTGCTTCACTACGCTATATCCTTCAGCACTATATAAAACAATCTACTGTGCTGCACGTAGCACTTCTTAATTACAATTACACATTCACCAATAAATCGTTTACCTTCTGCAGCATGTAAACAAAACTGGCCATACATTAACAAGCACGGCCCGAACACTTTTCAATCGACCAATATAATACATTGAGTCGCACAGTAGTACGTTTTAGAAGATAAAGCAAATTAGTTCTCCTTTATGCGTTTTTTTTCTGTGCGGATAAATGACGGAGAAATATTTCAATGAAGACGTCTCCAGGTCAGACGGAGTTTGGCGATTGCCACCGGCGCTGTTAAGGCCCCAGAGAAAGCAACCAAGACGAATACAATTCACGAAAGAAGCAACGTTTTTTTTTCCCTCCCTACTTCGGCAAATGACTGAAATAAAATGTGACAAGACCTTGAAACCAGAGAGGAGTCAAAACCTTCAAAGGTTCTCTTGTTTAAACAAATGGAGCTGGTAAAACGCAGACCCGGGAAAAGAGGCTGCGTGCCAACGAGCTGAATTATCGTGAAATGCGGTTGCATTTTCATGATATGAAAACCCAAGTAATATTGTCAATTGTATTGTTTCATTTCAGGAAGGAATACAGTAGTCATGTTCGCCGGACAGCATCATTGCAAATCATAATAGAACGTTTGCATTGTTAAGATCATCGTTACCAAGGGGGTGGCTGAGCAGTAGGCATGTAACGATTCACACCGCTAGAGATTCAATCATCGTGAGGGTTTTGAGTCGGTAATCGGTTCTGTCTCGTTGATATGACCGCCCCGTTTGCGTTCTCATTTGTTCTCTCTCGTTGATACCGTTTTGCTTGCTCCAAAAGTCGAAATGCCGAATGAGCGATACAATTTGCAAAAATCTGAAAATAATCGATCCTCACGTGCACAATTCAATGCATGCATCACGAGCGTAAGAATCACTTTAAATAAACGAGCCGATGCATCGTTCCATGCCGACCAAACATGTTGTTTAAAATCTACTCCGAGTCAGATTCAACAACAATTGTGTACATAGCTCTGACGGCGTGTTTTTGGGGTTGTTCGGCACAATGTCTGACGTTTCCCTCCGCGTGCTGGGAGATTCCTCCTTCTTCTGGAAAGTAATTGAAAAAGCTTCCAGTGCATGGAACGGAACGTCGGACATCATGCCGAATGACACGTGACACAACCCGAAAACACATCGGCGGGCTTTACAGTGCAACCGCAAAAACTTGTGCTGTTGTCGCAATTTTATGGCATTTTAATGAATTCCACAAACAGTAACCAGACGTAAAATTAAGGATTGTACCACTCGGAATATCAACGCGAGAATCAAATCAGAGTTCAGCACCGCTCAAAGCTTGGCAACTCCTCATGAGCAGCTGCTAAAGTCCCCGGTAATATGTTTGCAACCGTACAAGGGAACTTGCGGAGTATCATCAACTTGTTAGCAACATTGCCGTGTTTCGTTGCTTGAAAAAAAAAGAACTACGTGCACAATGCGTGTATGCTCCTGAAGAGATTTTTCCTCAATTAATTTTTCCATTCCTGCACATCTGCAAGCTCGTCTTTAATGCCACATTTTTTAATCATTTTAAAAGCAATGGCTCTCAAAATATCTCTCAGGCAAAACAATTACAAATTTGACAAAACACAAGGTAAAATAAGTGCATTTCTTTAAAATATCAACCAAACGCTGAACTACATTTTCAATCACATAATGGGAATCAGTTTAAGTGTGCGTTGTTTGAAGCATAAACAGGTGGGCCACTGTGGTGGTGAGATGTTAACTGCCTCGCCTGGTATACAGGAGGTCATGGGTTTGATCCTAACCCTGACGCCTGCTGCTGCTGTATATTTGGAGTTTGCATGTTCTCCACGTGTTTGCGTGGATTTTTCCCTGGGTCCTCCGGTTTTTCCCTCCAATTTTTTTGAAACATGCATTTAGAATATTTGGCTGCTATAAATTTCCACATGATCAGCCACTTCGTTGAGCTATAATTTGTAGGCAGGTTGCTTCTGAAAAATATTTCGATAGCTTAGTGGGCCTTACCTGGTTAAATACATATAGTATATAGTTTCGTTTTTAAGTGACTTTTGATCAAACCTGGACTCAAGAAGTTTCTCACCTCTCATTCCACGCTCCAATCTGCACACACAGATATAGATACATAAGGACAGAGTTAATGAGCTAATATCTAAAACAACAAAATAACATCTTCTTGGTTCTTTCGGTAAAGTCACGTAGAAGGGAAATAATCTTTCCGACAGACCTGTTCTTCACCTGAGGACGGCTGCTTGCGTTGTGGCCGAAACGTCGTGAGAATTATTTTATTATGTTTTATTTTTATTATTCTATTATTTCCCTTCTACGTGACTTTACCGAAAGAACCAAGAAGATGAATCCCTGCAGTCACGAAAGCTTTCAATCGAAACAAAATAACATTTCCCTTAAGATAATTTTTTTAGATGGTTATTGCCTCGAAGTAATGAAGAGACCTTTAATCGGTGGTTCTTTTACAACGTTTAAAAGCATTTTTTCCCCCAATATGGCAGGACAGCCGGTGTGTTTGTGTACCCTGTGAGGTTATTGTAGCCTCCGTCTGTTCGTATCCCCTTAATTATTTATATTCAGCATCCACATCAAACTCAAGCTATTTCACAATTTTGAGTGTCTCGCGGCCGTGCAATGGATTTTCATGTTGTTTGTTTGTTGATGTTTACCTGTTGTATACAATAATTCACTCAGTCCTATCTATTGCGGTGAATCGGCAGCTGCCGATGGTTCAGGTCTTATGCAAGGGTCAGTTCCACAAGTTTTGTCTTCATTCACCGCACCTCCGATTAGCACGGTTGGCTACGTACGGTGCAAAAGAAGTTCAACGTCCATACGTAAATAGGAAAAAAGTGAAGTCTAACTATCCTAGGTTATTAATTTTATATGGGGGTGTTCACTAAGTTGTGTACATTAGCCATTTTGCTGCTGCACAAACTATTTTAATAACCCAACCCATTTTTTCATGAGTAAGACTCTCCCTTGCCCGCGTGGTTACATTATTTCTGCCTCATTTGCTTGGAATTCTCTCTCAGTTTCTTGGATTTCCATCTCTCAATTTCTTGACTCCCTCGCGTGCGCTCATTATGTATTAAAAACTGACTTTCCTGTCCTGTCGTCACATATTCTAAACGGACTCGCTGGCCGTCCGTAACACGTCCGTCGCTCAGCGCACACGCGCACGTGCGCGTGCTCGCGCATACGCACCCTTGACGTCGAGCGAGGCCGAGCACTCGGTCTTGCCGTGCGGATTCTGCGCGTGCACCGTGTACATGCCCGCGTCCTCGAAGTCCACTACGGGCAGCAGCAGCGAGCACACGCCCACCGTCTCCATGGGGCACGCGCGCTCACTGCCCCACAGGCTCTGGCCGCCCTTGAACCACGTGACGATGGGCCGCGGGCAGCCGCGCACTGCGCAGCTCATGCGGCACTCGGTGCCGCGGGTCACCACGTGAGGTCGCAGCGGCACGAGGAACGACGGGGCGCTCGCTTCGTTCCAGCCCCTGTAGCGCGGCATCACGAGGCCCACGGGCTCTGCGTGGGGGTGAGCGGGCGGCAGCGGGGGGGAGGGTCAGGGCAGCGGCGTTGCACACGACATCTTGTGGCGACAAAACACACGTGAGTGCACACTACAAAACAAATGCCTCATTAAACACCGTGTTGACGAGTCGCGGACGTGCGATCTCTGTGTGTAGTGTTTTTAGTCAACTGGGGAGGAGACCAGGACCAGTGGTGCTGCCATAGCAAAAAGGTTCAGAACCACTGGGTTAAGGGTTACATATGGGAGCAGACATGGGACGCACACATGGGACAAACGTACAAGACATAAACACGGGACACACACACATACATGGGACACAAATATAACACACACACACGAGACACACACAGAACACACACATTGGACAGACTTGCACGACACACACACACACGGAACACACACATGGGACACACACACACACAGAACACAGACATTGGACAGACTTGCCCGACACACACACACGAGGGACACGCACCACGGCGGCGCATCAGGCTCCAAGGCTCCTTGCTCTCCGAGGGGTAGCTCCTCCCCACGCTGTTCACTGCCACCACGCGAAACATGTACGGCTGCCCCGTCACCGAGTCCGTCACCGTGAAGCTGTTGTTGTTGATGTGGTCTCCGATCTCCGTCCAAACCTGACAAGGTGACGGCACAGCACCAGGGGGGGGGGGGGGGGGGGTGACGGCGGTGGAGAGGGGAGGGGGTAAACGACGACACTGGCTGCCAAATGGATTCTGACCCACGGGGCAGGGTCGCCCCCATATGTTCCTGGAGGCCCCGGGACTGGACCGCTCCGAGGCAGATTGCCACATGGGATGGACCCCTTGTTCATGCGCGACGGACCTGTGGTGGGGGTCCTCCTTTCACCCCGATGGGTGGCCCTGCCAAGGGGTCAAAATACCGTCGCACACCAGTTGCAGCCGACCGCCCACCCCTACAAGAGCCCCCGAGCGGCGTGCGGTCACCTTGTTGTTGACCTCGCGCCGCAGCACCGTGTACGTGAGCTCGTCGTCGGTGACCTCGTCCCGAGACGCGCCCCAGCACAAGGTCACCGTGCCCGGCACCTTTTCCACCAGTGACACGTGGCCTGGCGATGACGGCACGTCTACGGCGGGCAGACGCGCGGGAGCGCACACGGGGCACGGGGAGTGGAGGTGCTCGGTTTTGTCAGATATTTTTTTTCCGTAGGCGTCTAAAGATTCACCCAGACAAACCCTCGACGCTGATCTATCTTGAGTAAATAAAAAAGGTGTTAATTGAATTGTTACATGTCTGGTTATTCGTAGCACAGTTAAAATCATTGTCATCATCAGCATTGGAATTTTTGTCTTGAGGGTGTCATAATTTTCATCATCATCGTTATTGTTTTTATAATAACGACAACAAAAACATTTCTATCATGAGGAAAATAACGACAATGCGAATCCTGTAAAAAATGTGAGAGGGCCAGGAGGTATGCAGTCAACAATGCTTGACTCAGGGAGGAGGACGCCCCTGCCATGCATAGTCCCATGGGATGTTGGCTACCAACAACAAGGCAACTCCTATGACTAATTGGGAATGGGACGCAAGCGTAGGATTGATCACCCTGTCGCTGGCCGCCTTTGGGGAGGGTGTATAGTATGAAAGGCCGAAACACCCTAGGAACCAAAGGTTCACTACTGACGATGCGCTCCCCAAATTTCACCAGGCTCACTGTTCATGAACTCTTGGAAGTGCTTGCACAAAGGATAGTACCATCTCATCCTGTGTTCTTTGGAAACCGACGATGGCGAGAATGGTGACGATGGCATTGGCTGCACGTGCGTGCCCATGTACCCACGTGCATGTGTGTGTGCATGTGTGTGAATGTGTGTGTGCATGTGTGTGCATGTGTGTGCGCGTTTGTGTGTTGCTTAGCACCGGCCTTCATAGGTGCTCAACACTTACTCCGACAGTCTGTTAAGGCGACACAGGGGATCTTTGTCTTTGTCGGTTAGCGCGCTGCACTACGAACTCGGCGACCCGAGTTCAATTCCTGCTGACGGCCAACACCAGTGACGATTATCTGAACCGGTCATGGGCCTCCCCTAGGTGGACTCAGCCTCAAATGAGTACCTGGTGCGGTGTCTAAACATCGCCACTGGGGAGACAAAGGCGGCCTGGCGAGGTGCTGGCCACCCGCCCCCTTGTGTGCTGTTCCAGCCTTCATAGGTGCTACTCGCACCTATGTGCTTGTGTGCGCGTGCATGTGTGTGCGTGTGTGTGCGTGCGCGCATATACGCGCGTGCGCGCATTTCACGCGCATTCCTCCACTTACCAATGACCTTCATGAAGATGCTGTGGGTCTCGGACCCGGCCTCGTTGCTGATCACCAGCGTGTAGTGTCCGGAGTCTTTGAGGGCCGTGCACGGGATGAGCATCTGCGACGAGCCCGACGTGCTGGTGATGGCGACGCGTGTTGACAGGCGCACGCCTTCCTTCAGCCAGTCGGCCTCGGGTGCCGGAGATCCCTGCGAGCGGCACGCGCGTGTACATATGCACACGTGTGTGTGCGTTAGTTAGCACACACACACCGGTGGGCTGACGTAGTAACTATTTGGCATTTTGTTAACGTGACAAATCCCTTACTAATTGGCTGTGTCGGGTGGTTAAGGGTTTCGACACATTTATACTTATGCTATCTAACCCAAAAACCTTTATTATGAATAATAATAATAACATTGGTCGCGAAAGCCTACGTGTTCAACTAGTTAGCACAGTTGACGCCGTGGAGGGGCTGGGTGGGGGTGTATTAAAGAAAGTTTCAGGCGGTCCCAGCGTTTCCGACACAATGGTTCCTGGAAACCCCGTGGTAAATCGGACCACCGGTTTTCCCTTAAACAGTAGAAACATCACTTGGCGATGCTTTTTTCCTTTTATCGGCCATATCTAGGGTTTATTTCATAGGAAAACTAAACATAACAAATCCACAAAAGCACTCGAGAATAACCAAAGCTCCACGTCGAGTCACATCGGAAAGCAGGCCGAGTCTCTTCAAATGTGTTTTGGAGTCGTGTAGAAAGATGCGTCGTCAATCAAGTTTCTGCTGTCTTAAATAGGTCCACGGTGGCATTATTTAAACGTCATTAATGTGGATCATTGTAAATTTGACCGTCTGATGCAGGGATTGAAACCCCGTGTCATTAGTACATTCAACTTAGTGTCCTGTCCCATCGGCTACAGCTCCTTCATAGTTATTTCCCTGCTCTTAACCTTACTATGTAGCCATCATCATCATCATCACCGCCTTAGCCCTGCTCCCTCATGCCACCCGTCATCTCGCTGTGCGGCTCGGAGGGTGACGTTCTCATCGCCAATTATACAACTCCCGAGGGCGAGCGCGTGCTGTCGGAGTGCAATGCAGAAACCACGTGTGTGTGTAGTATTGTACAGACAGACTCTTGTACGTCTTTTAGTAGCACACACTTTATTTGTGAATACAGTCCCTATGCACCGAGGGGTATACGGTCCCCTCACCCGTTACACTCCGAACGTACAAGCCTACAGGCTACTCATACCCCGCTCCTTCAGTGTCCTCTGACTGGACCTAGGGAGATGTCTCCCTGACCACTGGTTACTCTGAACCCTAGCCCTTATAAGGGCTGGAGGGCTTGGTCCAGGGTCCTATGCTTCTTCCGCCGTCTTGGGTCTTCGTGTCGTCGGACTCCCCGAGAGCTCTGAGCGTTCTGGCTTTATACTCGTTCGTGGCCGGGTTGTCCAATCCCCGGCCACCTTGTGGAACCCTGTGATTGGTCGTTCCCAATCTGCTTTTCGATCCCAATTTACCCTATCTGACCCTGACCGTTAGGTCGCGCGGGAAAACCTTGTTAACGGTCAGCTCTCACAACTTGTGAGACCCTGACCGTTAGTTTGAGCGGGAAACCCTTGTCAACGATTAGCTCTCCCTGTTTGTGAATATCGAGTGGGTAACTCTACTACATCACCCTCCCCTTCGAAAGCCTCAGCCGTCCCGGCTGTTACAAGCAGAAAATCCCCATCAATGAATCAAAGTGTGTGTGTGTACCACAACCAACAAGAACAGGTACATCCAACAAGAACAGGAACACCCACTACAAATACCCCCCCATCAACAACGCAACATATGTACATGGTCAGAACCAACCACAAATAACGACATTCGCGACGCACAACGCATGCAGCATCCAGCTGCCGCAAAAAAAAAAATGATGGGCAATCAAGAAAAGCGACGCGATCTAGCCCGTGTGTATTTCGCGGGCCCGTCGTAGGGGATGGGTGCCCCTTTCCGGGCTGCAGGCTGACCAGGCATCCTGGCAAAAATGTCAGCAGGGGCAGGAGGCCTCTCTGCGGGGACCCTTGGAGCAGACGGGTCGGGCAGCCTGGCAAACATGTTGGGCGGGTCAGGCATCCTGGTAAACATGTTGGGCGGGTCAGGCATTCTGGCAAACATGTTGGGCGGGTCAGGCATTCTGGCAAACATGTTGGGTGGGTCAGAAGGTCTCTTTGCAGAGACTCTTGTTGTAGACGGGTCAGGCATCCTGGCAAACATGTTGGGTGGCTCCCGGGTCCTTCGTGCAGAGACTCGTGGCTCGCACGGCTCCCTCAGTCCCGCATCATCTGCAGGAGGAATGAGACGTCTGCGCTGTGGGTTAGGTACCAACGGGGCGACATCCGGCTCGTCGGGCATATCACACGCTCGGCCCTCGTGTTTTGAGTGTGACGCAGAGCCGCGCGGAGCAACAAATGGCTTCAGACGAGAGGGGTGCACGAACCAGCGCCGTCGTCCCCAACGTATCTTAACACACTGTGGGCGCATTACCTGGACCACCTCAACCGGACCTCGCCATGGTTTTAGGAGTTTAGCCGATGTGGACACCGGCACCTGGGGGCAATGAAGCCACGCCATATCACCTGGAGCCCACCGATGCACGGACGTGCGAGGGGCCTGCAACCTCGAATTTGCCCGCTGGCGGGAAGCGGAATTTTCGATCGCCGCAGCACGAGCCTCAGACAGCTTTTGCAGGTTGAACCGCAAATGGTCAGTGAGCTTCGATGACTGTGGAAGCTGCTCTATCCCAAGCCGCACATCAGCGGGGGGAATGGCCTCCCTGCCATACATTAGGAAAAATGGGGAGAACCCTGTCGCTGCATGTGGCGCCATGCGGTAAGCAGCGAGGACCCCTGGGATCTGCAGGTCCCAGTCTAAGTGGGATTCGTCAACCTGATGGCATAGCATAGAGGTGAGGGTTCTATGCAACCGCTCCACCATGCCATCTGTTTGGGGGTGATAGGGCGAGGTGCGCACCTTCTTAGTGCCCAACAGGCGGCATACCTCACTCAGCAGGGTACTGGAAAAATTTCTTCCCTGATCGGTCAGCAACCGTTCTGGAGCGCCCTTGTCCAGCACATAGCCTTGAACAAAGGCGTCCACCACGGCTGCTGCTGACTGGTTGGGGAGGGCCCAGGCCATAGGCCACCGTGTAAAATACTCCACCCCAACCAGCAGGTACTTGTTACCACGAGGCGTTGTAGGGAAAGGCCCCAAAATGTCGAGAGCAACCAGCTCGTTCACACGGGATACCGTGATGGGCTGCAGCGGTGGGCATGCCGGCGTCGCTGGAGGTTTACGTTGCGCACATTGGGTGCAGCCCGTTAAAATATCAGTTACGTCGCGAAGCATGCCCGGCCAGTAAAATTGTAATCTTAGCAACCCAATGGTTTTATGCACACCCAGGTGCGACAATCGCTCGTGTGCTGCGCACACAGCCGAACACCGCAAAGCCGATGGCACTACAATTTTGTACTGGCAAGAATCAGCGTCCCAATGCATGAGCAGACCGCGGCGCATGGCAAAAGAGTTCGATTTACTTGAACGTGAGGACGAATCACATGCGCGACGACGCAGAGGCAACAATGACGCATCGTTCATTTGGTGCCGACCCCATTCGTCCAACGTTATCCCCAGCAAGTCGTCACTTGCTGGCGGATTTTCGTGGTCCGCACCCGGCGCAGGATCGGAAGGAAGGGCAGCAGAAACCGTTTCAAGAGGTGCAACCGGGCGTACTATTTGCGGTCTGCACCGGCCAGAACCCGTAAAACAGGCGCATTGTTCTGACGGGAGGCGAGATAGCGCGTCCGCATTACTGTGCTGTGTACCCTTGCGGTAAATCACCATAAAATTGTAGTCCTGGAGGACTTCAAGCCATCGGGAGAGCTGGCCAGACGGTTGATCAATGCGCAAAGCGTATTGTAACGCAGAGTGATCGGAGCGCACGGTAAACCGTTGACCGTACAGGTATGGCCTGTATTGTTGTATAAAGTGAACAATGGCCAGCAGCTCGCGTCGGGTTACGCAATAACGTTGCTCTGCAGGGGACAAAACTCTGCTTCCATAGGCAACCACCCTCTCAACGCCCTCAATGATTTGGGACAGCACCCCGCCGATCCCGGTGTTACTGGCATCGGTGTCCAGAATAAACGGCTTTGCAAAATCGGGGTAAGCCAGGGGCGGTGCTGCTACAAGAGCATTCCGTAAGGAGTCAAATGCGGCCTGTTCCGCGTCCCCCCAATGAAATTTCAGCCCTTTCGCTGTAAGAGCGTGTAGTGGCTTGGCGATTGTAGCGAAACCAGCCACAAAACGTCGGTAGTACGACGCGAACCCGATAAAACTGCGAACATCCCCAGCAGAGGTGGGGGTAGGCCATTGGCTGACACATTTAGTCTTTTCAGGGTCTGTGGAAATACCCGAGCGGCTGACTATGTGGCCTAGATAGCGCACAGACTCACGCAAAAGGTGGCACTTCTGCGGTTTGAATTTAAGGTCCGCAGCTCGCATCTTTTCGAAAACAGCGCGCAACCGTTCAATGTGTTCGTTGAACGTGCGGCCAAAGACGATAACGTCATCAAGATAGATAAGGCATGAGTCCCACTGGAGCCCAGCGAGGACCAGCTCCATGAGCCTCTGAAACGTCGCTGGAGCTGAGTGGAGCCCCATGGGCAATCTATTAAACTCGAAAAGGCCCTGTGGTGTCCGAAAAGCAGTCTTTGGCTTTGACGCTTCGTCGAGGGGGAGTTGCCAAAACCCTGACAGAAGGTCCAAAGTGGAAAAATAACGCGCCCCTGCCAGGGCATCCAATGACTCATCCATACGTGGAAGAGGATATGCGTCAGCCACAGAAATTTTATTTAGGCGCCGAAAATCTACACAGAATCGAAGACTGCCATCGTGCTTTTTGACCAGCACTATCGGGGCACTCCAGGGGCTGTTGGAAGGAGAAATGATATCAGCCGCCAGCATGTCGTCAACTGCCCATTTAACATGCTGTTTCTCCGCAGGGCTGAGCCGAAACGGGTTTTGGCGGATAGGGGCAGCGTCACCAGTGTCAATGTGGTGACGCAGCAGCTTGGTGCAGCCAATATCAAATTGTGATTTGCTGAACACATCCGAGAATTCCCGCAAAAGAGCCCGCAATTTACTCTGCTGTGACCCGGATAAATCGCCGGCATCCGCGCAGAGAGCGTCAATCCATCCCTCGTCACCGTTATGAGGGCGAGGCTGCTGACTGTTCGCTACGTGTCCGACAACCCCGGTTCCCAGAGGCGCCACTGTCGCATGAGCGAGCACTGTCCCCTGTGAAATGACGGTGTCTGACAGACCGACATTCAAAACTTGTATAAATGGTTCCCTGTCGCCCGCTACAAGAGTCTGTGCGGCCACCAACGAAAGGCTGTTAACTGCTGTGTTGGAAGGTCCCAATAAAATGCCATTTACCGAGGCGGTGGGAGCGAGCGGTTTTTTTAACCGTAAGGGTACGAGCATTTGTGCCCCTGGCGGAATGCGTACAGCGCAAGCCGCAAAAGCCTGTACAGAAACATTTTCCGTCCGTGAATGCGTGGCCGCGGGTAAAAATGCCATCCGGCGGCCCGAGGGAAGTTCAATACATCCCTGATCGATAAGGATTTTAATGGGCATTTTGGCAAGAAAATCAGTTCCCAGAAGGCACGGCACCGCAAGGGAAGAAGACACAAAAACAGGGCCGGCCAATTTAATATCTCCAATGGCAATTTGCGCCCGAATTTGGCCGAGAATCCCCAGGGAACTTCCATTTGCAGTGAAAAACGGAACGGAAACCTTTTCCAAAGATCGACATCGCACGGGCAGTATATTGTAAATCAACTCAGAGATGATAGTGGCCGATGCACCGGTATCGACAAGCACGCGCACCTCTACCCCCTCGATCGAACCAACGACCACCGAGGAACCCGCCGTCGCTGCAACCACTCTATGGGCCAGCTCTGACCACTGCCCGGGTCGCAGTGGTCGTGAAAAGTCGGCCAAACGCCGCGCATCATACGCCGTGTTCCGAGCGGAGTCAATGGTGTGTTGTGGTGTGTATGAGGACCGAGCGTGTGGGGTGCCGCGACTTGCCTGGTTATGCTGCGCTGCTCTGGAAGCTCTGTAGTCCCGGTCTCGGGATCCGGCGGAGCGGCGGCGAGGTGCACGGCAGTCGGGAGAGAAATGGCCTCGGCGGCCACAGTTGAAACACGTCGCGTCGTCGCGGGGGAAGGGCCGTCCCCGCTCCCAGTCGTTGCGGCGACTGGTGCGATTTGGTGATCGCTGGGGCGTCGCGCTGAACGTCGAGAAGACTCGATCAGGAGAGCGAGCGTTGTCCCTGCTGGCAGGTACCGATGTCGTAGCCGAAGCGGTGATGGTCTCGTCCTGGTCCAGCATTAAGTGAGCATGAATGCTCCGGGCAGCTCGCAGTGAGCACATGTCCTCGTCATCCACGGCCTGGATGACAAGGCGCAGCCCCCTCGCCATCTCCAGCAGCTTCTGAAGGACGAGTGCGTCGATAGCCTCATCGTCCATGCGGGGGTAAGCCGCTCTTGCCATGGCGAGTAGCGCGGTGCGGAACGCCAATGGCGACTCCCTTGGCTTGCACCGTCTCTCGTAGAATTGGTGGCGTGTGGCGGAAGGAGGTCCGTAGACATCAGACAGCCGCTGAAGTGCTGCTTGTAGTGTCGCCCTTTGTCGCTTGGGAATGGAGATGAGTGCAGCGAGAGAGTCATCGTCCAAGGTGGCTGGCAATGCACGAAGTGCTTGTGCATCCGACCAGCCCACCATCTCCTGGTGACTGAGGAAGCGACGTTGAAATGCTGCCCAGTCGCCCCCTGTGGACGAGAATTCGCGAAAGACAGGCAGTCGCTGCTGTAGAGCAGCTGTGTCGTCGTCTTCGTCAAGCTCGGACTCGGTTCCGAACGCAGCGATGGCTTGGTCGACAACATGTACTGTACGGCGTCGCAGCCGTGATGACGCGGTGTTGTTGGAGTGTCCTGCAGAGGCAGCATCGCTCTCTGATAACGCAGTGTGTCGTGATTGGCCCCCGGAGGTCCCAGCATGCACTTGGCTTCCGCCCCCACGTGACCCATCGGCGGGAAGGACGTTCTCTTCCGGGTTTGCGATGGCGGGGACGCTCGCTGTCGGCCGCTCCTCCCCGCCCGCAGCCCCCAGGGTAAGCTGCTCCAGGATGGCTGCTGCAGCATGCAGCAGCTGGGCGAGGCGGGCGTGAGCAGCCTGGTTGCCGTCGCTCGCGGCGATCGGCTGCACAGCTGGTGGTGGGGCGGCTGGCAGCACGCCAACATCTTCAGCGCCGCCCGCAGCACCCACGGGTGAGTCGGAGCTTGCATCATCGGGACTTCGCGTGCGGTTCGTTCGTCTTGTTTCCATCTCCTGACGCCAAATGTAGTATTGTACAGACAGACTCTTGTACGTCTTTTAGTAGCACACACTTTATTTGTGAATACAGTCCCTATGCACCGAGGGGTATACGGTCCCCTCACCCGTTACACTCCGAACGTACAAGCCTACAGGCTACTCATACCCCGCTCCTTCAGTGTCCTCTGACTGGACCTAGGGAGATGTCTCCCTGACCACTGGTTACTCTGAACCCTAGCCCTTATAAGGGCTGGAGGGCTTGGTCCAGGGTCCTATGCTTCTTCCGCCGTCTTGGGTCTTCGTGTCGTCGGACTCCCCGAGAGCTCTGAGCGTTCTGGCTTTATACTCGTTCGTGGCCGGGTTGTCCAATCCCCGGCCACCTTGTGGAACCCTGTGATTGGTCGTTCCCAATCTGCTTTTCGATCCCAATTTACCCTATCTGACCCTGACCGTTAGGTCGCGCGGGAAAACCTTGTTAACGGTCAGCTCTCACAACTTGTGAGACCCTGACCGTTAGTTTGAGCGGGAAACCCTTGTCAACGATTAGCTCTCCCTGTTTGTGAATATCGAGTGGGTAACTCTACTACATGTGCACCACTCGGCTCCCTTGCCGCTTTGCCAGCCGAACGGCGGTGCCCACGCCGGCGAAGGGAACGCGGGCTTGACGCCGCCGCCGCCACTCACCGTGAAGAGGACCTTCAGTCGCACAGTGTTGCCCGCCTTCACCCTCATGTAGTTGCTGGTAGAGCTGTCCAGCTTGAAGGAAGGACGGACTGCACGTGCACACACGCACAAAGAGACAAAGATGCTCCACCCCCGCTCGCCTTGACAGACTGTTGGGGCAAGCGCCATTCGCGAGCACCTACAAAGGCCGGCACGGTACACGAGGGGGTGGTTGGCCAGCGCCTCGCCCGACCGTCTTTGTCTCCCCAGTCGCGATGTTTATACACCGCGCCAGGTACTCAATTGAGGCCGAGTCGACCTGAGGGAGGCCCAGGACCTGTTCGGATACCTGTCACCGGCATTGGCCGCGAGGGGGGATCGATCTCTGGTCTCCAGGTTCGCTCTTGCACTCCAGCAGCGTGGCCCAGCCAGCGCTCTGTCACTGCACGACCGTAAGCGCGGTCGTGCGCACGTGCGCGTTCGCGCTTAAAAGGAAGGACAATTAATCTTGACTTAAAGCTGTCGTGACTGCAGGAATTCATATTCTTTGGGTCTTTCGGTAAAGTCACGTAGATAGGTTCAAAGAAAATAATAAAAATAACAAAAAACTACGATGTCTCGATCACAACACAAGCGATCGTCATCACAGGAGGCATAGATGTAAGGGATGTCAGGGGAAGGATTCCCACCAAAAGGAGGGGGAGTGGGACGGTGACAGGGGAAGGGGGAGGAGCAAGCGAGGAGATATAAGAGAGAGAACGGGCGGGGAGAGGGGAGATCTTGGCGGGAACGAGATTGAGACGGCTGGGGACAGGTGTGGACTGGAGAAAAGGAATAAAAGACGAACCCCCTGCAACCTTGTGTCGGCTCTCCTTTACAGATGCATAGACGCCTCCTGATGACGATCGCTTGTGTTGTGATCGAAACGTCGTAGTTTTTAGTTATTTTTGTCATTTGCTTTGAACCCATCTACGTGACTTCACCGAAAGACCCAAAGCATAAGGACAATGCCGATAATGACACCATCGAGTGGTAGGTGGGCAGGGGTGGGGAGAGCTATGGGGAGGGGTCAGGGTGGGGTCAGCGTGGGGTCAGGATGGGGTCAGGGAGGGGTCAGGATAAGGTCAGGGTGGGTGCGCGATCGTCTCACCTGAGGGCGGGGCGGCGCTGACGCACGTGTCGAGCTGCGTGGGCTTGCCCAGGCCCGTTTCGTTGACGGCGGTGACGCGCACGAAGTACATGCGCCGGTCGTGAATGCCGCCCACCGTGTACGAGGGCTGAGTGGCGAGCGCCTTGTTGGCGCGCGTCCACTCGCTGCTGCCCTCGGGGCAGGTCTCCACGATGTAGCCCTCGGGCTCGCCGCCGTCCTTCGGCGGCTTCCAGCTGAGCGTGAAGCCCTGCGCCGCCAGCTTGGAGACGGCGAGGCCGTGCACGGAGCCCGGGCACTCTGGCGGGAGAGCGGGGCGGCGGCGGAGTGAGTGCAGGTGCAACGTCGCTTGCGCTGGTTCCGAGGGAATTGCCCTGCATCGTGAAACTTCTTCTTCGCCTGCCACTGGTGATTGGTCGGGTCTCACCACCGTGTCCCTTCAGAGCGACTGTCACACTCGCCCGTTTAAAGTGGTGTGCGTCACGTGCAACGCAGACACAATTCGCCACGGTGGCGAGATGTTAACTACTTCGCCTGATTTATACAAGAAGGCGTGGGTTCGATCCTGACACTTGTATATTTGGAGTTTGCATGTTGTCACCATGGTCGTGTGGATTTTTCTACAGGTGCTCCGGTCTGTCCCTCAACATTTATAAACACTCGTTGAGAGTATTTGGCTGCTATAAATGTCCACACAATAAGCCACTTCTTTGAGCTATCATTTATGGCTAGGTCGCTTCTTAAAACGAACCATATAGCTCAGTGGGCCTTCCCTGGCAAAATAGTTTACATACAAACATTCACGTAACGTGTACATGCATGTACACACAAGTATGCATATAGAAACACATACACATGCATGCATACAAAAACAACGCACAGACACGCATGTACATAGAGACAAAGACAAAGGCCCCCCGTATAGCCTTAATGGACATTAAGAGACAAGTGCTGTGAGCGAGCACCTATGAAAGCCGGCACAGCACGTGATGGGTTAGGTGGCCAACACCAGGCCCAGCCGCCTTTGTCTCTCCAGTGGCGAAGTTTACATATCGCACCGGGTACTCATTTGAGGCTGAGTAGACCTAGAGGAGGCCCAGGATCTACCTAAGGGAAGCCCCAGGACTGGTTCAAATAATCGCCACTGGTATTGGCCGTGAGCGGGAATCAAACCCGTTTCACTGGATTTGTAGAACAATGCCCTAACCGCTGCACACACATAGAGAGACACACAGACACAAAGACAAAGATCCCCCGAATAGCCTGTAACATACTGTTGGGGCAAGTGCTGTTAGGGAGCACCTATGAAGGCCGGCACGGCACACGAGGAGGTGCGTGGCCAACACCACGCCTGTCTGCCTTTGTCACCCGAGTGGTGATGTTTAATCACCACACCAGGTACACATTTGAGGCTCAGTCGACCTAGCGGAGGCCCAGGACCGGTTCAGATAAATGTTCACTGGTGTTGGTGGCCTTGAGCTGGAATTGAACTCGGGTCGCCAGGTTCGTAGCACAGCGTAGCGCGCTAACCGCTACGCCACCGCTCTACACAAGACACACACGGACCCATGAAGACGCACGGAGACAAAGACGCACGCGTGGGTGCACGTACTCAGTGGCTCCTTGGGAAGCGCCGGCTGCGAGACGGCGCTGGGCTCACTGCGCCCGGCGCTGTTGACGGCCGTTACGCGGAACTCGTACCACGTGCCCTCGTTGAGGCCCTTCGCCGTGTGCTGGGTGTCTGCATGGACGGAGACACAGGCAAGTGGTGCTACGATCAGAGACACGGGCAAGGGGAGTCACCAGATTGTCTTCTACAATGAGTTTCTCCTGAACGAACCGAGTTCCTCTATCACACCATGGATTTCTCCATTACTCGGTACTTTCACGCCCATAGTAAATGAATAATAATAACCTTGGATAGCTATTAGTTTCTGGCTTTTTCCCCATGTATGTATGTGGAACTTCTTTCGCACCGTACGTAGCCAACTGTGCTAATTGGAGGTGCGAGGGAAGGAAAACAAACTAAACACAAAAAGCAATTTAAACAATTTAGTATTCAATCTAGATTTAGAAGTGCATAGCTCCTGGTGGCTTCCTAATATCAGGAGGAAGAGTGTTCCAGACGGCCGCGGAAACGCATCTGAAAGCGTGCGATGCAGCGACCGCCTTTGCTCGATGGTTACCCAAAAGCCGCTGCGGCAAGTATGACCTCTTCCATTGTGAAAAGTAATTTCCTCCCATCACGTGCCAGCCTCCTCCTCCACCCACACTTAAATCCGGTGAAGTCACCGCCCGCGGGAGCCGCGCGACGCTCGCACCGTAGATGGCCGAGGTGGAGGCGTAGCTCCAGGCGACGGTGCCACGCTCCCGCTTCTCCAGCACGTAGCTGGCCACGGGCGCTCCGCCCGTGTTCTTGGGCTCCGTCCACATGAGCGACACCGTGTCCTTGGTGACGTTGGTGGCGCGCGGGGAGCCCGGCGCGCTCGGAGGGGCTGTAGGTGCAAATGCAACCATCATCGACGTCGTCGTCGTTATCATCATTGTCGGCGGTTGTCACCGTTATCGTAATCGGCATCCTCAGCCATCGTCACACGGCATCACAACAAAAAGTCAGACCCCCCTCAAATATGACGTCACAAAGCTCTGCCCCCGCCCAAAAAAAAAACATCCTTCGAATCGCTTTAAACTCTTGTCATTGTAGTGCGTATTTAATGTGCTGCTGCACTCTGATGTTGTAGGAGAAAACATGTATTAAAAAGTCTGTTTAATTAAGTAGAACGTGTTGTTTATATTTATTTAAAGTTGCGCATTTTGATGTGACGTCACACTTCTCAAACCACCCCCCCTCGTCACACATGTCTGACCCCCCCCCCTCTAGGTGCGTGACGTCATTTATGGGCGGCCCCTTTACACACCGCACCAGGTACTAATTTGAGGCTGAATCGACCTAGGGGATGGGGCCCAGGATCGATTCAGATAATCCTCACTGGCGTTGGCCGTGAGCGGGAATCGAACTCGGGTCGCCGGGTTCGTAGCGCGGCGCTCTTGCACTCCAGCAAGGTGGCCCCAGCCACGGCTTCATCAACACGCAGACTGGAACTGCGGTGGTGCGCACTAGTACAGGGTGCGCAGTGGATCACGCAGGGATCGTGCGCTGTGCCTTCTATGTGGAGCAGCACAACACAGTATATGACTGCCTTGTACAGTAGAACCCCTCTGAATGACCACCCATGTTAACGACTAATCGCTTAAGGACAGGCCTCCATAGAGCCCAATGTGTAGTGTATAGTGTAGTTTATAGTAGTGTAGTGTATAGTAGTGTAGTGTATAGTAGTGTAAGGCCTTCATAGAGCCCAATGTCTTCTTGGTTCTTTCGGTAAAGTCACGTGACTTTACCGAAAGAACCAAGAAGATGAATCCCTGCAGTCACGAAAGCTTTAAATCGAAAAAGAGCCCAATGTGTTTGCTTACCGACCATTCCCCTGTTTAACGACGGGGTTACGACGAGCGCGAGACGGAACATTTTTTCGGCCAATCAGCGAGCTCCAAAGTGGTCTGTCCAGGCCTCAGCCAATCAGCGACGTCCATTTATGAGCGTTGGTGCATTGGTTACATTCGGTGTCTGCTGCCCTTTGAAATGGATAACATCTCATTTAACGATCAAATCACTGAACGACTGGTTTCGTTAAGAGAGGTTCTACCTTAGATTTCCTCCCACATAGTTAAAACAATTATTGCTGTTTGAGTTATTGTTATTTCTGTGCGTATTGTTTTTATTCGAAATTTTATTCTATTCAATTTTTATTCAGATTATTTTTTACACTGTGGAAACTATTTAGCTGCCGTCACTATTATTGTTTGTGTTCTATATGTAATTTTATATATTTGTTGCAACGTTAGTAATTGTTGCTACAGTTTTGCCAATGTTACCAATCGAGCTTTGAGTAAGTTGCGGGGAATATCTTTCAAATGTGTCCGTGTGTTCATGGGTTTAAAAAAAAATCATTAGACCGGATCGGCCACACTGAAGCAACGCATCTAAAAATCCGAACACTAACGGGAGAAACGTAACGTGAGCCATTCCACTGCGGCTGCCTTATTACATCTGCATTTTAATTCACTGCCATGGCACACGTCTGCTACTGCGATGATATTTTTAACCCCGCGTTTTTAATTTACTGCGCTCGAACCTGTTCGCTCTCGTGACGTTTGTTTTGCAGTGAGGTTTCATAAACGCTGCGGGTTTAATTCGCTGCACCAGAATCTGCTTGCTTACAGTATTTTCTCAAAGAGTCCGTAAAAGGCTCCATGGGGAATCTGTGCCATTGTGTTGCGATGTATAAACGTGTCAAAATATCAAAAATAAAGGTATAAATAAAATATTAATTTAAAATCGAAATACTATCAGTGTGTTCTGTTCTATGAGTATTTCGATATTTTTATTGAGATTATTATCACTTTTATTGCAACTATTTTTACTATTATTCATATTTGTTTTGTATAAATGCGTTGCGAGTGCGTGTGTACTGATGTGCAAGTTGGAATAGTAGGGAGCAGAGGTGGTGCATTGTCACTAAATGAGAGTGACGTCAGCACAGCGCTTGTGCCAGGCTAGGTGCACTTTGACGCGCGTGAAGTGTTGAGGGATCATTGGCAGGAAGTCATGAAATAAATACGGGTGTCATTGGTGAACCGATTGAAATGACCAAGCATGGTTGTATCTATTCCTGTAGTTGTGCCGCTCGTAACACACACCAAGACAAACACAAAAATCCTCCGGATAGCCCAACAATACATTTGGAGCAAGTTCTGTTAGCGAGCACCTATCAAGGCCGGAACGGCACAAGGAGTGGGTGGCCAGCACCGCGCCCGGCTGCATTTGTCTCCCTAGTAGCGATGCTTACACACCAGGTACTCATTTGAGGTTGAGTCGACCTCAGGGAGGCCCAGAACCAATTCAGACAATCGTCGCTATTGTTGGTGGGTCATGAGCGGCATTTGAAATCGGGTCGGTGGGTTCACAGCGCAGCGCGCCAACCGCGACGCGACAGCTCCCCCGACACTTCCGCGCGCACTGGCACACACAAAGATCCCCCGTGTAGCCTTAACAGACTGTAGGGGCAAGTGCTGTTAGCGAGCACCTATGAAGGCCGGCACGGTACACGAGGGTGTGGGTGGCCAACACCACGCCCGGCCGCCTTTGTCTCCCCAGTGGCGATGTTTACACATCGCACTAGGTACTCATTTTAGGCTGAGTCGACCTAGGGGAGGCCCGGGACCGGTTCAGATAATCGTCACTGGTGTTGGCCGTGAGCGAGAATCGAACTCGAGTCGCCGGGTTCATAGCGCAGCATCGCGCTAACCGCTACACCACCGCTCCCCACACACACGCACGCACGCACGCGCACACGCGCGCACGCACACACGCGCACGTACTCGCTTGCTTCTCGATGGTCACGGTGCCCGACTCGAGCGCGTCGCTCTCCCCCTCCGAGTTGACGGCGCGCACACGGAACTGGTAGGCCTTGCCCTCGTCCACCTTGTCCGTCTTGAAGCTGGCCGCGTCGCCCGCCGCATCGCCCACGGGCACCCACGAGCGCTTGTCCGCCTGGCGCCGCTCCACCAGGTAGCGCGACACGGGACGCCCGCCGTCGTCCAGCGGGGGCTGCCATGTCATGGTCACCAGCTTGCCCGTCACGCTCGTCTCCAGGGGCCCCACGGGCGGTGTCGGCTTGTCTGGAAAAGAGTGGCAGCGTCGGTGTGGTGGTGGTGGTGGTGATGGGAGAGCGGTTGTTTTTAAATCCTTTATATTAAGTTCGCTTGCTTGCTTAGGACCGTGCAAATCTTTCGGTCGTTTTTTAACCCACTTCCCGTGATCCAATCGAGCTGACATTTCCACACAGACTCGTTGTGCGTGACAATTAATGTTCGTGAAAATTTTTGTTCCAAAATTTTACACTTTTTAGGACAAAAATATTATATTTAATTACCAATTGCTTAATGGTGCAATGCAATCATCTGACCCATAGGTGGCAGCCATCTCAAGCCAGAGGACGAGAGGACTCTAGCCGCTACGCATATAAAGGATTTATAGTGAAAAACTTTGTTTTTACTGGTTATACTTATTTTTGTGTGCGTTTATTGTGCGACCGTTGTTACCGTTGTTGCTGTCAAGAGACCCCTGAATATTCGCGGGGGGAGAGGGTGGCAGGGTGTGCGCATTCCCGGAGAACGGCGCGCGAATATTAAATACGCCGATGTTGACGCTGAAAAGTTTGAGGAAAATCGGGCGAGGGGAAGTATTTGTATTTTTTTTATTGAAACATTAACTGTACGCATATATTGACGAACAAATATATTGTGTTATTTAACTTACCTTTAGTAATGAACATGCTTAAAAGTGCAAATACCGATGAATAAATGAATACGTGAATTTTATGAAATTTCAAAATACTGTATTGTTAAGGAAAGCACTTGCGCGTGCTGTAAACAGTGCGGCAAAGGCAGAGTGATGGGAGAGCGTCGCTTGGGCAACTTTCGCGAGCTCACGATCCACGCCGCTCCCATGTCTCAACACTTCTCGTTCGGTAGCAGTGTGCTACGGCCGCGAATATAAAAAATACAACCCTGAAAATGTCAAATGTATGTATGTTGAACTTCTTTCACACCGTACGTAGCCAACCGTGCTAATGGTAAGTACGGGGGAAGGGCAACACATTAAACACAAAAGCAGTTCTAAAGAAATGAGTTTTCAATCTAGATTTAAAAGTACACACCTCCTGTGGCTTCCTAATATCGGAAAATCGCACTAGAATAAATTTGTCACAAATACGCAAAACCGCAATTACACGATCCGCGAATATGAAGAGTTTACTGCACAGTAAAACCTCTCAAAAGCCAGACTGATTTTGGGGAGCCTTCAGGCTTACCCTGAACTCTTCCTTGAATCCGGCTTCGGGAGGTTTCGCTGTATTGGAATGGTTACAGGTCACACCACGAGTAGGTAAACAAAGCGCACGCGTGTGTGGTCGCATTCATGCTTGACGTCTACAAGTCGGGGTGTAATATTGCTTTGCCTTTTCCCAATATGGTAATTTACAGGTAGCCGCAGTACCACATTCGCACGCGCACAAGTAGCCTACTCCTAAAAACAAAAACCCTCACGGGATCTTTAATGGGCACTCTGAAGGAGACGGGCGTGCATATGCGGTTCGTACACCTGCGGTATTCACCAGGGCAGCCAGGGTGAATGCAACCACGAGCCTTGGTAACAAGCGGCAAAACGTGCTAACTCTCGACTACGTCCCGCTAAGCGCGGACGGTGACGACGATGGCCATCGCGCGACTCGCTCGGTCTAAGCACCGACGACAGGAGGGGCACCTACCGATGACCTCCAGGTGCATGTTGATCTCGGCGGTGCCCATGGGGCTCTTGAGCTGCAGCTTGAGTCCGCCGCTGTCGCCGCGCTCGCACCGCGACAGGGCGAAGGTGGCGTCGCGGTCCGAGCGCTCCAGGTGCGTGCGCTCGTCCTCGCGCACCTCCGTGGCGCCGTCGTCCCGCGTCCAGTTGGCCGAGCACGAGGTGCCCTTGCAGGAGAACGGCACGCTGACCAGCGCCGTCTGGCCGGCGCGCACCGTGATCGGGTCGCGCTCCAGCTTGGCGCGTGCATCCGCGTCGATCACCGGGGCCTCTGCGGGTGCGGGGCGGTGGGGTTAAAGGTTAAAAAAGGTGAATGGTGCAGCCCTGCAATATCTTGCTCGTGCGATGCTGGCAGAAGGGCCTCCACTAGAGAGAGAGATCGAGAGAACCTGTATATCAACTATAAACTATTTATTATTTAACCAGGTAAAGCCCACTGAGCTGTATAGCTATTTTTCAGAAGGGACCCGGCCAACGAAGTGGCTTACCACGTGGAAATTTACAGCAGCCAAATACTCTTAAACACGTTTCTAAATTTGGAGGGAAAACCCAGAGGACCCGGAGTTCATGCAAACTCCAAATATACAGCAGGCGTCAGGGTCGGGATCTAAGCCACGACCTCCTGTATACCAGGCGAGGTAGTTAACATCTCGCCACCGCTTCTACGCTAGCTAGGGGAATGTTGCGTACCCAGTTATACTGCGGGGTGGACAGAGGTGGGGGGATTTTTGAAAGCTGCCTGCCTTGTTTCAAATGCCGGAGAATGAAACCAGTCCGGCGACTTCTGGATTGCATTTCCAGTATCCCAGTTTGAGGATATTGGGAGTGAAATGTTAAACATCAGCCAAGGACTTATCCACCGATGGATGAAGGCTTTCCTCCCACTGCACGTCCTCATCCACCTCCCATGTGGCTCTCAAAAGTGTTCGAGGTTGGGAGGTTAAATTTTGCTTCTCGGCGCAATAAAGATGAACCACTGCTGGATGAAAGTCTTTTTCCCAAGCCGTCGCCATCTCACATGGCTTTGGGATGCCACAGTCGATCTAGCACCTTCACAAGAGCTCATTTAATCGCTCCATCTGTCTCTTCATCCGTCAATTAACTTGTCGTTCTCCGTCCGTTCCTCTGTCCAAGTCTCCATGCATCCATTTGCCAGTTAGTCCACCTGTCCATCCATTCATCCATTTGTCTGTCATTCCATTCATATCTCTATCCACCCGTCCTTCCATCCATTTGTCAATCTGTCTGTATGCCAGCTGCCGATTCACTTATCTGTCTGCCATTCCGTACAACCATCTATCTATCTTCTGTCCACTCATCCCTTCGCCTGTCTGTACGTCTGTCTGTCTGCCTCCGTGCGTTGATGTGCGTCCTCACCGGCGACGATGTACTCTGGCCCCGCCTCCTCTTGGATACGAGGTTTCCGGCTGCTCGGTTCGATCTCCTTCGCCGATGTGTCGACGTCTGCGAACCGCGACTTGCGCACTGCACGCACGCACGCACCCGCGCGTGTCAGCGTGCAGCCCTCACCCTGATCCAACACAACACCCCGACACAAACCTAACGCGAGGCTTCGGCATCAGGCAAGGAACGATTCACCACTCCCACATTGCCACAAACTGTCGTGGTTCGAGAATGTAATTCGATCGTAGAAACTATCCTGTATTTGTCCCCCTTGGCACTGTCTTGTTTGTATTGTGTCCAACTTTGTTCCATTTTCCTGAATGGTACCATTGAGTCTTTAAGAGTTTGATATATTCTAAAGGCATTTCCGTAAGTTAACACTGCAATGGTCGCTTTGTCTCACTGTGGTGTAAATGAGTCTTCAGTGGACAATGTACAGGTAACAATCTCTTAGGAATACCATTGAATAATACGTTTATTTAATTTAACCACACCTGACATCTTTTTAATGGGATAACTGGGCAGTTGAATATGGATTTTCAATATAATTTGCATTTATATGGCGCCTAATTCAAGACGGTATCCAGAGAAGTTGGTGATCCCATCATGCACTTGCACAGCACCCACAGTGCAATTGACTAGCACCCACAATGCACTTGTGCAATACTTACACTGCTTTTGAATATCACCTACAACGCGTTTGTACAATACCCAGAATGCGCCTTCAGAGTGCCCCGCCGTGCTCCTGGCACGCTACCCACAGTGCACTTGCGCACACACCGAGGGGCTGTTTGGCGGGCTGCCGATTTCTTGGCAAGGCGGCGTTTGGGTCAGCGTCCAGTCCGTTTCGTCCAGAGTCCTCGTCACCAGTGCCGTGCAGGTGACTGAGGTCTTTGACGGGGGGAAAAGCGAATGGATAGATCACGTCAGCCGATAAAACCGTAACACACACCTCGCACTTTGTGTAGGCAAGAAATCTGCAGGTGCTCCTGTGTCCTGTAGTCATTGTTCCAGCCAAAAGTGGTACAGCCAAGCAATGGTGACTGTCTACCGGTAAATCAGTGGTGACGAAGCCTTTCCGTACTGACGGCCGAATAAGATTTTCAAATACTTGCGGTGGGCCCCGCATTAAGTGCGAGAGGCCTATTAGTGATAGACGTGACCGAGCAAGCGATAGTGAGAAACATAGTGTTGTTGCCAGGTCAAAAATATTTCTCTCTAGTACCCGGTTAAGTGTGGCTAAGATACCATACACAGTGATGGGTAAATATCACTTGCAGGCCGTTTCAATGTGGTAGGGCTCATCTGTCTGTGGGCCGTATGAAATGAAGTCATGGGCCGTAGGTCCTCCACCCCTGTGATAAATGTTTCCTATAAGATCCGATGTGAGAGACACATAGATCCTATATATGCGGATGTCTGTCTCACTGGGGTAAACTTACATACACTTCACCACTGAGGCACAACACCGAGTGATGGTGGGAGCGGATAGTTGTGAGGTGAGGTAGAGTTCCACATAGTGGCAATTTGAGCAATGGCTACAGTTTTATTTTGCCATATTCTACCGTTTTTAATTCAATTGCGCTCTTGGATTTATGTCGTCACGAGGTGAAGATATTTACAATTGGGACTCTCGCATGAAGCAGTGTAACATCAAACGGTGTTAAACAGCGGCCTCTATAAGATGACATCGAAGAACTACTTTTGAAGTCCGTTTCAATGCCGTCAAGTAAGACGAGATCGCAGTACTACCGTTGAGATCTGCTCCGTTGCTTCTCATCCTCACTAGCTGGTGTACTCTCCCACATGGCCTGCCATAGAAGTTGTCATCACGTGACAATCAACCTTCATTGTTTTTGAGTCATCACGGCTGGAATGATGTGAATAGACAAATTTAACACAATCATTGTTTTTGCGCAGAGACCATAGACTTGCTACACTTGAGGAGCCGCTTTACAGTGTAATCACAGAACAACTCTGCTTGTGTAAACACGCACTTACCTCCCGTGCTTCATTATTTCACCGGGGCCAACTTAATAAACACCCATTGATGATGACAAGTGTCATTGGACATTACCATCCACGTACATATACAAGCCTGCAACAATTACATGTCAATGTGCTATACAGATTTGATCCCATCGCACTATTGGCGGCGTTATGTCCATTTGGATTATTTGGAGAGCAGTGCAACCCATTGAAGTGGCTATCACTGGGCTCCCTCCGAGATCCCTTCAAGTGACCTCTGACCCACACAGCAGGGGGCAGCACTCTCCCACCCTCTCTGCCAGTGACAGTGATATGAGTCACATGATAGTTCGTTGCCAAGCAAATTCTTATTTTAATTCTCACTGCTGCATTTTATCCAGACTAGTCTGAGGCCACCTACTCATTACGCTTGAGAATTTGGTTAGTTCATTGACTTCTGAAACCCAGACTCAAATCGAGGATATCAACGGTGCCAGCCCAGTAAACTGACCTCTGACCAACACGGCCACCACAACATACATACTATATAAACAGTAAAACAAATACACGTTCATAATCATGCAATCATAACTTTCTGATGTGTTTCAGGCTGCATGTTGTTCGGCATCATTTAAGAACTTTGACCGTTGTTTGGAATACCACGAGGAGAATGAACCACGGACTCTGGATTACAAGTTGGGTGTGTTTAGCCGTTACACCATGGCAGTATCCCGACGACCAAAGGTAACTTAAAAAAAACATTATTTTGGCCACACTTCACACAGATCTCTTGCAGTGAGAAAAGCAAATCAAGCGTACTAAATAAAATTGGAAGCATAGTAGATCGAAAATACTCCCCTCTCGAATCCCATTAGAGCGGCTAAGATGCTGGCAGATGGACAAGTATTTGTTCGCGGGCCGTCCTAGAAGCCTCTTCAAAAACTTATCCTGAAGAAGCTGCCAGCACATTACTAAAGACGTCAGACGTTGAACCGAACAACGCGTAGCATGAACCGAAAACGCATCAGAGGGCCGTGCAACGCAACCGTGGAAATCTACACAGTTGTAATGCAAACTTGAAATTGCAAAAACAGGTGTATTCAAACTCTTGTTCCACAGAGGTTTTTAGTCAGGGGATCTACATTATACTGCCCCCCTCTCCCCCACCCGGGTTGAAATGTTGTGGGGGCGGGGGGGTGAGGGGGGCAACAGTTCCCCCTGCCCGCTATGTCGCTGGCTGTCTGTGAGCGCCGCGTGGCGCCAGCTCATGTACCCATGCCCAGGGCGTCGTGCCGGTGGTCGGTAAACTCCGACTCGTCTGAGTCCCAATCGTCGTCGTCTCCGTCCGCCAGTCTGTCCACCAGTCCAGATTTTCCGTCTGAACCTGTGCACAAACCGTCAGCGGAGTCAAGCCAAGGAGCCTAGGGGTTTGTTGCAGAGGGGGCAGTCGCCTGCCACCTGTCCTGGGGCCTGAGTACAAAAAATGCTCATAAAATTGTCACAAGTTTGGCAAGCTGCGATTGTAATAAGATCCGTAATGTCTGAAGGAAATTTGGAACTGATTTCGAAGGAAATACGGGCGGTTGTCGTGAGTTCAAAACACTGTGGGAGTGTCAGTGGTTGCTGGGGATTGCGTCATCAGAGCAGCAGCCAATCAGCTGCCAAGAAGACAACCCCCATGCAACATGGCCATCATGACACCACCCATGCAACATGGCCACCATGATATAATTGCAACCGTGTGCTTCAGCCGGGCCGTGGCTGAGGAAAGTACATTTATGTTATAATACATTTTTATGACATTTGTAAGCGATGTTATCAACAACAATGTTGTCAATTTTACGGACTATTGTTTGAACTCCATTATTGAATCGGAGTTATGACAAGTTTTTTATCGGACTTACGGCATTTCTAGAATCATGTGCATCATTATGTACTCAGGCCCCTGGTTCTCCCAGGATGGGCCTCTTTTCAAGGTACCTGTCCTGGGAAATCTACGCGTCGTCAGAGGACATTAAAAAGTGGTGAGTGGTGGGTGAGTGGTGGATGAGTGAGTGGCCGGTAAAGGGTGAGTTAATGGTGAGTATGTGAGTGAGTGGCAGGTGAGTGGTGAATAGAGTTGCCACCTGTCCTGGTTTTCCCAGGATCATTCATTTTGAGTCAGCTGTTCTGGGAACTCTGTAATTCTTCCCAGGAGATTTAGAGTCCCAGTGTTTGTCTGCTGCATAACAATACCCCACTGAAGACAATGCATTTACATGTAGTTCTCCACTCTTGCGGTACTGTGAAATATTCTTCCCACGATAAATCCCGGTGGTTTCTTTTTGTACCTTCGAGGTGGCAACCTTCGGCAGCGCGGTCCTGGGGTCTCACTTCCCAGGCGCGTCTTGCGGATTGCATTTGTATCATTGCCTAGGCAGCAGCTATCTCAAGCAATCAATGATGTCACTATGTGCAAGCGGTTATGTGCGTTAATGTATGAATACATTCCAATGTATGCAATGTTATTGGTTGTCTTGAAAACGTATTTTTGTGAACCTAAGGTCACGTGTGCTGCTACTCATGCATGGCACTCGTGCTTCTTAATTCCCGTCGGCACTTCGGGACTTGTTTTATACTTGTGCGACGCACGACATCACGTCATAAATTACGACGTTCAAAGATTGGCTATAGTGGCGCTGCCGATTGTAGGATTTGACTCACCAAATGGAATAACCACAAGTTAAAATAAAGGTCGGCCATAGGTCAACTGAGCCCACTGTCCCACCAGGGTCAATAACACTTGCCACTTGTGTGGAAGTTCAGAGTGGGAAGTTAGACTCAGTACTGAGAGATTGGCCTCTACCATAGGAGTGTGGAATTCTCACCGCGAGCTCAGGGCCTGCGCATTACAATGTGAGCTGAATCTCAGTCAACTTATCAGGAGACACTTTCACTTGTAATTCTGCGCCATTGAGGTTTGAATACAAATGTGAATAACCTAAACAACATAGATTTCATGTATTACAATCCGACTGTACATAAACAATAGCATCGCCACCATCACTGGCACCACCACCACCACCACCAAAATGATTGTTGAGCGGTTACACGGATAATTCTCTGTGTTGTCCTCACTTTTAATGATAGCACTTCATGATAAGGGCCTGTTTCTCTACCATGACAGCCACTATTGACTTCGCCCACAAAGCAGTACCCATTCTGTCTCCCCAAGATATAGGATTGACCGAGTCGACCGACCGGGATTTTGAACTCACGACCTTCCCCATCGTGACGTAAACAACGGGCCGCACCGCGCCGCCCTGCCACATGGCGGTTTTTGTTACTGGCGGTTTTTGTTACTTGCGCTTGTGCACCATTGACTCAGAGGAGAGTAACAGATTGGGTTTTTCAATCTTTAGATTTTCTTTATATTGAATCTTTAGATTGAAAAACTAATTTCCTTAAAACAGCTTTTTGTGTTTAGTTTGTTGTCCTCCACCCGCACCTCTGATTAGCACCGTTGGCTACGTATGGTGCAAAAGAAGTCCAACATACACCCAGTACATACATTGGTGGGGTCAGCAATGCTTTTTGTCTGCCTCCATTTAAACGTGGGCAATGAACCACCACCGTATGGCACCACCCTACGGGATGTTGTAGATTTTTCTGAATGGATGGTAACGGCGCGCGGGGAGAAAGTGTAATCCGTGAGGAGGACGCTTCACTCACCACTGTCGTCGAGACCGTCCAAGCCATCGCCCTTTCCACCGTCGCCCGTCCCTGATCCGAGTCCATCCAAGTCTGCAACACCATCAACACCACCACCAAAATGACTATTAGATACACAATAGCATCGCCACCATCACCAGCACCACCACCACCACAATGATTGTTACCAAATCCACTAATACCATCCCCACAACAAACACCACCGTGAATAACATACCACAACAAACACCACCACCACTATTATCCCACCACAATCAACAAAAGCATCACCACCACGTTTAACAACATGGACAGAGAGAAACATAGACACGCAGCGAGACAATGCAAGACATAGATAGACAGAGAGAGAGAGAGGCATGGAGACAGAGACGCACAGGGAAAGACACATGGAGAGACATGTAGAGTTATAGACCCTGAGAGATGGGCATGGAGAGAGACAGAGGGAGCCAGATATTCCCTGGCAGTCTTGGATCCAAGCATTAATCAGGCTCAGCTCTGCTGAGCTTCCATTACCCCATGAGATCAGGCTTTTTTAAGGGGTAAATCTGTTCATAGGCACACGCTACTGATATGACAATGTTAACGTTTTTGAAAAATGACAGTAAAAAAAACATAGTTTGTCATAATTGGGCCATTGGTCCAAAACAAATAGAAATTCCCAACCACGGGATGATGGTTTTAGCAGCAGGAGCAAATTTGTTCCTGCCACCTACGTAGCCATCTTATGTCACGTTGTACGCTCGTGTGGGTCAAACGTTCGGTCTGATTGTAACTCTAGATACACAAGGGTCACACGAGACGCCCATGAACTTCACACGCTTGCCACAGAACCCACGGCAGTCGTCCACAATACCCACAGTGCACCTGTGCACACACCGACAGGCTGTTTGGCGGGCTTCCCCTTTCTCGGCGGGGCAGCGTTTGAGTCAGAGTCCCGTCCGTTCCGTCCAGAGTCCTCGTCACCGGTCCCTCGCTGGTGACTGAGGTCTTTGACGACGGGAAAAGAAACAAAAATAATGCATAAAAACACACGGTTTAACCTCGCTTGTGAAAGCTTTAAATCGGGAAAGAGCGGCTCCTTCCGGAACGAAGGTTAGCGGTTGGCAGCTAAGTGGGTTGGCTGCCAGTCAGCCCACTCGTGGGAAGGGTCAGATTTCACAGGGTCAGCGGCGTAAAGCAGCAGGGTGTGATTCACACCGTCACTCGGGAGGGTGGGGGGGGTTAAGCATCAACATACCCAATACGCGACTTAATCTATAACGTGGATGTAAAGTTGTGGCTATGTAACGATTCACGTAACCTAACGCCTTGAGAAATTGATTCTTACGTCATGATTTGACTCACTCATTGATGCTGCTTTTGCGTCATTTGTACTGTATTGCATACTTTGTCTTGTTTGATTCGTTGGCCCAAATGTGGCAACTTAATATAATTTGTTACGTTGACTACCCACCATTAATTCTTAAACACATAACTGCCCTTAGCTATTCTACAATTATTCCTTTATTTGAATTTTTTAATATGCGTTTACAGTGCTTCTGATTGGGCCCTGAGCCATTTCTGAAATCCACCTGCCTGGCTCAGGTGAGCTCTTTGGGCTGAATAGTCCAGGCAAGAGGGGAGCACATGCGGTAGAGTCTCGGGCCTTAACGATTGTATAGTCAAGCCGCACTTGACTATACAATTGATGAATAGCGTGCAAGTAACTGCGTAGCAAAACATAACCAATGCCAATGCAGAAGTATCACCAGATTTTGCGACGCAGCGAAGTTACAAATGGATGTTACGCAATTTCACTTCAGGTTAAGAGTAGGTGACATCTTCCAACGATTTATTTTACCTACACGTGACATTTTGACTCTGAAAACCTCGGTACAAACAACCACATAGGTTACCCTGAAAGTCTACGAGTGTTACTCGACACGCCCTTGCGAAATACCCACAATGCACTTCTCAAGATACCCACAGTGCACTTGTGCACACACCGACAGGCTGTTTGGTGGGCTGCCCTTTTCTTGGCAAGGCAGCGTTTGGGTCAGCGTTCTGTCTGTTCCGTCCAGAGTCCTTGTCACCCGTCCCCTGGATGTGTCCAAGGTCTTTGAAGACATGTATCGATAGAAACAACGTCATGTGGTAATGTACACACACTTCCGATGTAAACGAATGGTCCTGTACGAATATTTTCGATCGTCAAGTGCAGAGTTGTACAGGAAGATGGAACAACAACACAAAATACTGCCGTTGTCACCTTGTACATATTTGCCCAAGCTGGGCTGTCTGAGACGAGTTGAAACTCCATTAATGATAATCATGTTGGATGAAGGTCTTGACCACATTTCACCACCCTAGCCAGTGCAGGTCAGTTAAAGGAGGATGGTTAGGGGAAGGGAGCCTGGACCACATCAGATATCACTCGCCACTGATGTTATCCATGCACTGGATTCAAACTCAAGTCGCTGGGTTCAGAGGACAGTGTGCTAACCACCTCACCACTGCTCCACCCCCTGATCCAATTGCATTGTCAATGTATGGAAGTGACATAGCAGTGACTGCACTCGGGTGCTATAATGGCACGCCTGGCCGTAACTTTGAAGTCTTTTTCTCTCATTAAGGTAGTTTCCAACTTGTGTAGGGAAGCCCGGGACACAGGGCATATGTGTATCCACAAGATGAGAACCATTTTTTGTTTTGTTTAAATAGAACTTCCATTCAGGTCAGAGTGCGCACGAGTACAGGAATATAAGACGAAATTGATCCACGGTGTATCATTCCACGCCACGGCCAAAGACATACCCATGCTTACAGGTTTTGAATGTGTTCTCTATTTTAAGATTTAATCCGATTACATCCGAAATCAGGCCTGGAAATATATATATATACGGAAACTTTGGACGCCCCGAATATTTAGTTTTTTGTTGTTGTTGTTGCGGTTTCATCCGAGGACCGCAGCAATCGTTTTTGTCGCGGCTGATTGTCCCCGTCGTTGGCGGCGGAGACGCCGCGCTAGAGTCGTACGCGCTGCTGACGGAAACCATCCGAAATGCCTGAATACGATCTGTAATCAGCCTTAAAAAAGCATCCAAACAAAAACCGAGATCAATCGTGTTGTCGTCCGGAACTCACTGCATGGTTAGAGGACATCACCGCGAGCACAGTGAGGACATACACGACCGGGGTGGCTTTCGTTTTCCACAGTTCTGGTGCAGTGAACATTGCACGGTGCCAGTGTTTGGTGCGGCGTACTGACATGTGGCCCGCCAGTTTGTGCGACCGTGCATGCTTGTTTGCTTCCTCGGTGAAGGGGTCAAGGAATTCCATCATTCATTTGACATACAATACGTGCGAGTAAGAGCCGGTTAGACAGTTATTCTTTGAACTTTTTGTGAACCAAACGATTGTCCAAAATTATAAAGGTCAGTCTGTACGAAATGTGGCACTCAACTACTCCCGACACTAAGGCTCGGTAAATTCCTGTTCAGGCAGTCAGGCAGAGGAATGTGGACATTAGTGAGCCATATGGCTCTCCGATGTCTTTGCGGGCTTTACCGCATCACATGTTGTTCGACAGTTCCTGAAGAGGCTCCTCGCATGTGGGGCGAAACTGAGTTGAATTCAATTCAATTCAGTTTCTGAAGAAGATTCCCAGCATGTTGAGCTAAATGCCAGAAATCATGCCGAACAACACGTGATATGACCCGAAAACACATCGGAGGGCTGTTTACAGCACAACCGCGAAAACCTACGCAGATGTGTTAGTAGGCACTGACCATCATGCACTTGCACAAACCCTACAATGCACTTGACCAACACCCACAATGCACTTGACCAACACCAAACAATGCACTTGACCAGCACCCACAACGAACAATACAATGCATTTGAATATCACCGGTGACACATTTGCACGATACCCACAATACACCTTGAAAATACCCACAGTGCACCTGCACAATACCCACAGTGCACCTGTGCACACACCAACAGGCTGTTTGGCGGGCTGCCCTTTTCTCGGCGGGGCAGTGTTTGAGTCAGAGTCCCGTCCGTTCCGTCCAGAGTCCTCGTCACCGGTCCCTCGCTGGTGACTGAGGTCTTTGACGAAACAATATATATTACAGTACAGACAAACAGAAAACAAGGCAGAGCTCGTTTGTCAGTGTCATCGAGTCCGCAGGAATAGGGCAAATTCGAACGCTCGTCGCACATCCGACTGGAGGGGTACAAATGCACGCGGTTTTAATTCGCAAACTGCCCTGCTATGGGATTTTGTCGAGTAAAGCACAGAATGTTACATCGGGACTCCACACACACAGGAGGCAGGCCTCCTCAGCTCTGTAATCGTAAATGAGAGGATGCAATTTCATGCTGAAACACGAGTTCAGAATGCATCCTGCGTTTTTGCGATCTCCTTGGTGTCACCTCGCTCGTGCACTAGAGCAGGTATTTCAAACGTGATTCGGGACTCTCAAACCGTCTCTCATTGCACAGTGAATGTGACAGTCCCGACCACATTAAAAAGAGTTGTTCACCACCGTATGATATTATCGTTATGGGGCAATGGTGAATGAACGATGAAACTGAACGTGCACGTTGGTCATTCATTTTACTGTGCATGCCCATTCACCTTGTCATTTGGTTAAAAGGAAATCACTGTAATTTGGCATTCTTTCATTCATCCAAACTAAATGGTTGCAAGAAAAAAGCCTCTGTAAAATGACTTAGGGCTTTTCTTTCACCATTCTACAGTCAATATTATTTCTAAAGTTGATCCTATTGCACGTGCAGTCATCCATACCTGACGTTATGATTCTGCCAATCGCAGGTGAACATCAACATGAGTAAAACCTCGCCACCATGCACTTGCACAACACTCGCAATGACCCTGACCAACACCCACAATGCATTGCAACACCAACATTTGTTCAACGCTGTACTCGTAAAGAACTTTCCACAAAGCTACGGTGCACCTGCCCCGACACCACGGTGCGACTTCATCCGCACATCACCCACAGTGCACCTGCACAATACCCACAGTGCACCTGCACGACCTGCACGATACCCACAGTGCACCTGTGCACACACCAACAGGCTGTTTGGCGGGCTTCCCCTTTCTCGGCGGGGCGGCGTTTGAGTCAGAGTCCCGTCCGTTCCGTCCAGAGTCCTCGTCACCGGTCCCTCGCTGGTGACTGAGGTCTTTGACGAAACAATATATATTACAGAACAGACGCACAAAGAACAAGGCAGAGCTCGTTTGTCAGTGTCATCGAGTCCGCAGGAATAGGGCAAAGGGCGAATGGTGAAGTTTAGCGCTCCTCGCACCTCCGAGTGGAGGGGTACAAATGCACGCGGCGTTAATTCGCAAGCCGCCCTGCCATGGAGTTTTGTGCAGCAAAGCACAGAATGTTAGATCGGGGCTCCACACACAGGGAGAGTCACCCACACACACAGGAGGCAGGCCTCCTCAGCTCTGTAATCGTAAATGAGAGGATGCAATTTCATGCTGAAACACGAGTTCAGAATGCATCCTGCGTTTTTACGATCTCCTTGGCGTCACCTCGCTCGTGCACTAGAGCAGGCATCTCAAACGTGATTCGGGACTCTCAAACCGTCTCTCATTGCACAGTGAATCTGGCAGTCCCGACCACATTCAAAATAGTTGTTCACCATCGTATAATATTATCGTTATGGGGCAATGGTGAATGAACGATGAAACTGGACGTGCACGTTGGTCATTCGTTTTACTGTGCATGCCCATTCACCTTGTCATTTGGTTAGAAGGAAATCATTTTATTTCGGCATTCTTTCATTAATCCAAATGAAATGGTTGCAATAAAAACGCCTCTATAAAATGACTTAGGGGTTTTCTTTCACCATTCTCCAGTCAATATTATTTCTAAAGATGATCCTATTGAACGTGCAGTACCTGACGTTATGATTCAGCCAATCGCGGGTGAACATGAACATTAGTAAAACCAGGCACAACACTCACAATGACCTTGACCGACACCCATAATGCATTGCAACACCAACATCTGTTCAATGCTGTCACGGTCTACCTGTCCGATACCACGGTGCAAATTAATCTGCACATCACCCACAGTGCACCTCCACGATACCCACAGTGCACCTGTGCACACACCAACAGGCTGTTTGGCGGGCTGCCCTTTTCTCGGCGGGGCAGCGTTTGAGTCAGCGTCCCGTCCGTTCCGTCCAGAGTCCTCGTCAACGGTCCCTCGCTGGTGGCTGAGGTCTTTCACAAAGAAATGTCAAGTGACAAAAACACACACCTCGTTTGTAACCGCGAGAAACCGAGAGCGAGTGAACGCTACGGTTAAGAGAGTTAGCGCATTTTCCGCGATAAGGGGTTGAACACAAACACGTTCAGTTGTTCCCACCCTAGCCTCGTACTGACCATGCATCCGGGTTAATTCAGGGCTCCAGGCACATGGAGAACGCACAGAGGGGATATGGTTCCATCAACACAGCAGCTATGCAATAAATATAAATGTCAGGTTTCGAAAGATAAAGTTTGGGGGTGCATTCAGTAGAAACCTCTCCGTTATCATCTCCAACTCCTTTTGCGCGAAAAGGTGCACCGTTAGGGCCTGGATTAATCACGTCAAACTTCAGTCGCTGTGTTAGCTGGACGTCCACTTCACATTTACATTGGCACCCCCGAGCGCACTAATCAGTAGCTCAATGGAATATGCATTTATCACCACTGAGTTGTGCTAAATTAATGTGCATGTGACTATTCACCCACTGTGCAATTTGACGAATCGTTACGATTCGTGGGCCCAGTTAGGTTCGTGAATTGATATTTTTTCCATCTCATTTGCTCTGTCTCAATCGATCCATCATTTGCAGATAATTTGTATAAATCGTACAGCAACGGAATCAATTAATCAAAGTAACAAGCCACCTGTTACATGTTGTATCTACACGAGTGCTGTTTGTTGCTGACTGTTTGGCATACCAGTCCTTCGTGCTTGTGTTTAACTTCCCACTCCTTCCACCCCACCCCCCCCCCCCCCCCCAGTTCTCCACTCCCCCTTGTCCCTTTCCTCCCCCCAGTATGTTCGTTATCTTCCCTCTTTCCGCTCCCCATATAAACCTTCATGTCGCCCGCACGTGTTCCCCACCTGTGTGGGGCAGTGAGCCTCATCTTTCGCCCTTCGTTGGGGCACCTGTCGCACCGAAATCGGGTCGCTGTTGACGGAGTTTCTGTTCCCCCCCCCCCCCCCACTCCGTTCGGTGATCGGCGTTTTGTACCGGGCTCGCATCGAGTTGTAATAAATATTTATATTTTTTTAACCGACGAATTGTTGCTTGCCAATAATAAATGAGCCACGGGACCCCGACGTGCGCATCGGTCAGCGCCTGTTTCCCGTTGCGCGCCCAACACGAGGGCACCGCGAGCCACCGCAAGCGCAGGCAGGGGAGGTGCATCGGGCCGACAGTGAGACCAACGTGCGCCTGCTACAAGACCCACACTTCGCCTGCGTACCATCCGCAGCGCAGTTGCATCTGCACGTCACCCCACAGTGCACATGGACATCATCCGCGGTGCAACGACGGGGCGCATCGCCCAGAGTGTCATTCTTCCCGACCGTGCCGAGGTTTACGTGGCAGGCTGCCGATTTTTGAAACCGTTTTACCACAAAACGATTTTGAAAATCAAAATTCGATTAGCTTTTGGAAAATCGATTATATCGTGTGAAAGAGGTTTAAACATCGGCAGCCTACCGCTTCTATTTGGTAGGATTAGCGATTATGCAGTGCACTCTCCTGATACCCACAGTGCAGCTGCACGATACCCACAGTGCACCTGTGCGCACACACCGACTGGCCGTTTGGCGGGCTGCCCTTTTCTCGGCGGGGCGGCGTTTGAGTCAGCGTCCCGTCCGTTCCGTCCAGAGTCCTCGTCACCGGTCCCTCGCTGGTGACCGTGGTCTTCAAAGAGTAAAATATATGGCAAACAAACATTTACAACCTGGTTTGTGCATGGCGGCCGCCCATCCAAGCATGAGCCAGGCTCAACCCAGCTTACACCTACAGTGTTAATGCACGCCGACCGTGTGTATGGGTTAAATCAGAGCTCCAAAACACTGGCAGGACACACGCAGGGGAGTTAAGCACCTCAGATCTGTAATTCGCCTCGCAGCACACGTCTTTTTAGGCAGGCAAACAAAAACTCATGGAGTGTTTGTAAGGATCTCTTTCTTGGACCCCTTTGGAAGAATTCACGCCATATTCTTTGGGTCTTTCGGTAAAGTCACGTAGATAGGTTCAACGAAAATAATAAAAAATAACAAAAAACTACGACGTCTCGATCGCAACACAAGCAACGACGAACGCCTGTGTTGCGATCGAAACGTTGTCGTTTTTTGTTAGTTTTATTATTTTTCTTGAACCCATCTACGTGACTTTACCGAAAGACCCAAAGCATATGAATTCCTGCAGTCACGAAGGCTTTAAGTCAAGATTGAATTCACGCTCTGTTAAGTTTCTTTTTAGTTTGAACTGGGTTAAGCGCGGTCAAGCGTCCAACGTTACGTCAACCGGTGAAGAGCAGGTGGAGACCGGGTACCACAGTTCCGGTGCTTCTCTCGACATTTGTTCTTTAGCCGTTAGCATCCCACTGTTGCCCAAAGGCCTCCACCTCCAATGTCTCGCACTCTCCGTGATCTCTCTCCACCTCCATCCGTTTGATGTCTTAGCGAGATCTCCTGTCCAACTTAATCGTCGTGACGTCATTTTAAGGATATCCTAATGACGATCTTAATTATGTCACCGCTGCCTCATCACCTTGGAGGTACCACGTCTCCCCAAGATTTCACAGTTGCGCTTCACTACTGCTTCACCAGAGGATTGCCCTCAAACCTCCACCGCAGGCCGTGTTAAATTAAACGCGAAACCTGACATGCACGGTCGGGTGACTGGCATCACCGTGCATGCCCCCCCCTGCACTCGGTTAGAAATAAGGATATTTCTACAACTACACAATCTTTCAATCTTTTGTTAATTTCATAAATCCACAGCGGGCTCTACTGCGGGCTCTGCTCGCGCTCCGCCAATTCTCAGTGCAGCTGGTCGGGCACATACGAACGTTAGTGAGCCCGAAACCATCATGCAACTCGCAACAACACCCACAATGCACTTGCAAAATGCATTTGGTCAATGTCCACAATGCATCGTCGCCGTAAACACAAGCACGGCGCACTACCACACCACCCACATTTGTCCATTGCGTGCAAAACCCCACAATGGACTTGCGCAACACCAGCAGTGCATCTGCACGATGACCACGATGCACTGATTCGTGCTATTGTGCACACACACCGACGGGGTGTTTGGCGGGCTGCCCTTTTCTCGGCGGGGCAGTGCTCGAGTCAGCGTCCCGTCTGTTCCGTCCAGAGTCCTCGTCACCGGTCCCGCGTAGGTGACTGAGGTCTTTAAAGAAATGTATTCAGTGGAAACAATAGCCAACGCAAAACTCTGTTTTTGTCTAAGATAAAACAATTCTTCTTTATCATCATCATCATCACTATCGTGTACCTTTTATCGGCGCATTAGTGATGATGGGCCAAACAAATTTCCACCATGGTTTTCTTCTTTAGCCAGTGAAAATAAATTGACGTTTGGCAACTGCTGCAGGAACGAGGTGACAGGAGGCACAGAGTTCGAGACCTATTCTATATTCCCCCTCCCTGCGTCGCGGTTTGTGCTCCGTACCGGGCTCTTATTGAAAGCATGAAAAAAAGCATGCTCTCATAAACGTAAAAAAGATCCAGTTGCAGACAACGTGATTGAGTTAAACTGGAACCCTAAGACTTGCGGAGTAATGCGCAATACTCACAATGCACCAGCACCATACTTACAGAGTAATGCACAATACCCACAATGCACTATACTTAGGAGAGTAATGCACAATACCCACAATGCACCAACACCATACTTTCAGAGTAATGTGCACTACCCACAGTGCACCAGCACCATACTTAGGAGAGTAAAGCAAAATACCCCCAATGCACCTGCATCTTACTTGCAGAATATTGCACAATACCCACAGTAGAAATGTATCTGCATATCACCAAGAGACTGGAGGGGGCTAACCACCCCCCCCCCTCCTCCGGCTGAAAGCTCAACTCCCCTTTAAATGTTTACAGTCAAGTCAAAAAAAGTGTTGGTACAATATTTAGCACCATTCTTCGTATCTTTACTCACTCCGTTCCGCACATTTGTCCAATATGTGTTTAACACCGAATGCGTCGTGTCCCCCTGAGTTTTTGTATGCCCCCCTTTAAACAAAGATCACACTGCAGGGTCTCCCACAATGCTCCTGCACGATACCCACAGTGCACCTGTGCACACACCGACAGGCTGTTTGGCGGGCTGCCCTTTTCTCGGCGGGGCAGCGTTTGAGTCAGCGTCCCGTCTGTTTCGTCCAGAGTCCTCGTCACCGGTCCCTCGCTGGTGACTGAGGTCTTTAAAAAAAAATGTATTAAATAAGAGACAGTGTCTAACGCATTCACGTCATTTATTCCAGTTTTAGTTTTTTTTCTCTTTCTTATTAAATGTGAGCCAGGCATAGCGTGGCGGTGGACGTAAGTGCTATTTGTGCTCGAAAAATTATTCAAGATTCTGTCCAAAGAAAATCTCGATATTCTCAGAACAAAGTGCTACGTTTCCAACAGTGATGTAGAAGGAGACAACAATTTGCCCAGTTAGACAAACACAATCTTCAGAAATGAGCATAATCATAATCAACTGGTACGTAATGGTAATCCGATTACACACTGAAGGCTGAGTAATAATACAGGATCACCAGTACCTGCCAAGGGTAATCAGATTACAGTTTACATGTAGTCTTGTGCTTGTGAATGCCACTGACGATTTGGAGTTAGGGGTAAGTTTCGGGTCAGAGTAAGGGGATGGTACTGGTTGATTCGAGTTAGGGGGACAGCTATGTCCAGTGAGTGGAATAGTTCTCGTGACTTGCTGGCAATTGGTGAGGTTATAGTTATGGGCTAGTATCAGTTACCGATTGGCTAGTTGGTAGGCGAAAGAATTGGCACTCGTGCTAGTCACTAGCCAACCAGCTATTCGTACCCGTACCTGGTTGTCTAGTTGTTTCAGGGTTAGTTTAGCGGTAGGATCAGCGCTTTGGCTAGTACTATTCGCTGTTTGCCGGAGCTGATTCGGGTAGGGGGGCCAGGCCAAGTGCTTGGGTGGCTAGCTGGCGACAGTAAGTCCCGAGAATTGGCACTTGTTCGGCTCGCGCGCTCCACCAAGCAAAAAAAAAACCGCTCAACCTCCACTACTCCCCTATTGCAATCGTTGTCGCCTTCTCAGCTGTGTGACCACCATTTCTCTGCCGATGCTCGCGGCGCCACCGGTTTTCCGCCCACCGGCGCGCTGGCTCGAGCGTGCGCGCACACACGCGTGTCCTTCACTCACCGGCGCCGTCGCCAAGCCCCGAGCCGTCGCCGAGCCCCGAGCCGTCCCCTCCGTCGCCCGAGCCCGACTTGTCCAGCAGGTCCGAGCCGTCGCCAGAGCCGTTGCCGAAGCCGTTGCCTAAATTGTTCTCTTCCACCGGCTCAATCTTGACGAACGGACATGAGCGATTTGTGTTATTTCGTAACGTGCAGGCGGGCGGCTGTGGCGAAAATGACCACAGCAGATGCAATACACGAGGCGCCGTGGTTACTGGGGGACAACTGGTCAATTAAGTCGGTTGAACAGCTACGAATTGGGATCTCCACGCCTCGTTAATTTGTGATCGTTTACTCGATCCCCTTTAAAAATTGTGTGGCTGCCACGAACCTCCCGCCTACACCCCCCCCCCCCCCCCCCCCACATGCCACGCCCGGCGTAACGCTGAGTGTAGCTACGCCGCTCACCATGATCACGGGGGGCGGCGGCGGTGGAATCTTTTTTTTGGACCCGTCGTCGAGCCCGGCATTGCCCTTGAGGCCCTTCCCTGCATCAAGCCCGGACTTGGACCCGTCACCCTTGCCGCCTTTGCCAGATGTGGACTTGTCGTCTCCACCCTTTCCACCATCGCCGGTGGATTTCGGCAGGGCAACCACGGCCTTCTTCGCGCGCCGCTCCTGCCGTTCCTTCTTGTTGGCGTCGTCATCGGCGGCTGGGGTGGAGATCGGCACGGGGGGTGTCAGTGTCACTGCGTTAGTGCCTGACTCTGCAGACTGCACACTGGTGTCACTGCAGAGCACGCGGCTGCAGGGCCAACACGCCGGTGTCACCGAGCGGCTCGTCTCTGAGGTCTACACAACTGGCGTCCCACCCCAGACTGAGCGTGCAAAAGCCTCCTCCTCGCTTCCTGTGCCCGCTCCCCCCTCCTCCTCCTCCTCATCCTCCTCCTTCACCCACACCCTGCTCATCCTCCTCCTCCCCCTGCCCTATCGCGCGTGCACCCTCGCATGCACGCGCACGCAGGGACCCACCTTCGACGCGGAGGAAGGTGTTGGCGGTGTACTCCCTGTCGTCGTCGTCCTGCTTCACCACCACCGTGTACTCGCCCGTGTCCGTCTCGGCCGCCGGGTTGAAGCTGATGCCGTGCTTGCCGCCGTCCGAGAAGACCTTGATGCGCCCGCTGTCGATGTCGCCGGCCGCGATGGGCAGCTTGTCCTTGAGCCACGTGGCGTTCGTGCCCTCGATGTTCAGCTCCGAGCTGAAGCTCGCCGTGTCGCCGGCGCGCGCCCGCACCGAGCGGAAGCCGCTCTTGAACTTGATGGCGCTTTCTGCCGCGGTGAAGGGGCGAGCAAACGTGGCGGGGGGGGGAATCGGTTGGGGTGGAGGGCAGTTGTTAGTTTATTGTGCGAACGCGCATGTTCGCGCGTGCGTGTATGTATGCGTGCAGGGAGCGGTAGTGGTAGCGGTCAGTGCGCTCTGCTATAAAACCCGGCGACCACATTTCGATTCTTGTTCACGGCTAGCAACACTAGTCACGATTATCTGAACCAGTCCGGGGCCTCCCCAAGGTCGACTAAGCCTCAAATGAGTGCCCGGCGCGGTGCGTAAAGATATCGCCACTCGGGAGACAAAGGCGGCCGAGCTTGGTGCAGTGACACCCACCCCTTCGTGTGCCGTGCCAGCCTTCATAGGTGCTCGCTCACAGCACTTTCCCCATCAGTCTGTTAAGGCTATATAGGGGATCTTTGTCTTGCGCTGCGCTATGAACCCGGTGACCTGATTTCTATTCTCGCTCACGGCCACCAACGCCAGTGACAATTACCTTAACCGGTCCTGGACCTCCGCCAGGTCGACTCAGCCCCCAATGAGTGCCCAGTGCGGTGTATGAACGTGGCCACGTGGGAGACAAAGGCGGCCAAGCTTGGTGCAGTGACACCCACCCCTTCGTGTGCCATGCCGCGCCGGCTTCTATAGGTGCTCGCTAAGAGCAATCGCCCCAAAAGTCTCTTAAGGCTATACCGGGGGGGGGGGGGGGGCACCTTTGTCTCGTGTACGCGCGCGTGTGCATTTGTGCGTGTATGCTCGTCCCTACTTGCGACTTCCAGCCACGCGACCGAGCTGCACCCGAAGACCCCTATCGAGTAGACGCCCTTGTCCACCATGCGCGTGTTGTGGATTGTCAGCTGGTGCGTCTTCCCACCGTCCAGCACCTTCAGGGATGGGCACCCACCGTGGGAAGCCTCTTAGCCTCGTTTGTGTGAGGTGGCCGGGTAGCAAAAACATTGGTTTCCTCCCGAACAATTAAAAAATGTGTTCCTCTGCGAATTATCGTCGCATGCATTCGATCTTTTTTCGAAGGGAAATAAGTTTGTGCTGACAGTGCATTGTCACAAGGACCACGGAGCTAGCTTACCTTGCTCGTACAACGATCGCGATGATAGCGACGATGACAATGGATGATGAGGATTGTGATGACATCATCGGAGTCGTCACTATTATGATGATGATGATGATTATCACCATGATCGTCGTCGCACTCACCTTGATTGAACGTCGCGATGAAAATTACGATTACAATGTTCACAATGTCACCGTCATCACTCATCTTGACTACATTCACGATAACATTGGTGACAATGATGACGATCGCGATGAACCACGGTATCTTCTTCGTGTGCATGCAAGCTCCTTGACCTGAGATCATCAAGGTAACAATGATGATGATGACGATGATCATGATGTCACCATCATCGGTATCATCATGACACTCACCTTCATCTCATACTTGTTGGACTCTATAAGCTCGAGGCTCTTGAAGTTCCACGTGGCGGTGGGCGTAGGCATGGTGAGCTTACACTCGAAGGTCACCGACTCCCGCTCATAGCAGCGCATCCACTGCAGCTGCCGTATGAACACCTGCTCATCTGTGGCAACAAGAGACACACGGTACTCGTTTCATCCGCCCAGGAGGGATGATGGGCTGAAATAAAGCATTCTCCGCATCAACCCACTGCCACCCCCCCCCCCCTCTGCACCATCACTCCCAACCAGTATTTCATTCGCGACAGAGTTGAGAGCGGGGTGCTCTCGGCACAGTAGCGAGAAGGCAGCATAATGACAGTTCTTCATAGAGAACGGCCACTGAAAGGCGACTTCACAGAACTACTTCTGAGGCTTCTTCAATTGCCTTTCATCCACGCGACAGGCACTGCACCATCTTCAGATGCCCTGCTTGAGAGATCTTCATTACATGGTAATCAAATCAAAGGTTTGTTTTTTTTACTTCGCATATCTGACATTTCGCTAAATTAAGTGACAAAGTAAGTGTAGCATGATGGAGGCTTTATTTTGATGCACAGCCATTGATGACAGGCTTGAGAACATCACACACTTGGAGAACCCAGTTTAATCATGGGGTAGTCAAAAATGCAGTTTCGAAGGCAGGGATCTCAACGATGCTGGCACAACGCCTAAGCTACGCCATTACAAGCCGTATGAGCCAGTGTTAATTTTCTGGATGAACTTACCGATGGTCAGTCAAACGATGACCGTGAGTGGACAATAATCCTCGTTCCCGCACCTCTGATTCGCTCGGTTGGCTACGAACGGTGCGAAAGAACTTCAGCATACAGTGAATAGATCAAGTGTGACGATGACTACAACCGCTGGCCACGAGAGACCAAATCGCGACCGACAGTAAAACGTGACGGAGTTTACGAGCCCGAATAAAAACACGCAGACCAAAGGCCACTTAGGAAAGTCATTGGAGACAGCGGTGCGCTGACGAAGACCAAATATAATAGCTGGCTATACTATACATGCGTATAAATGTAATTACTTGGTTCACCCATTGGGTGACCGGATAATAGTGTTGGGGTGGGGGGTGAATTGCACAACTCACGCACCAATGGATAATGAACGTGGACTAAATCGCCTGAGTGCCCAGAGTCGACTCGGCAAAGAGAACGACCACGTGAGCATCGACGGACCGAGCCCCCCCCCCTCCCCCCCCCCCCCCGACTCAAATCCCCCAAGCTGTCGTCAACGTGGCGAAGCTACGACGACCGGAAGAGAGAGGACGCTCACAAAGTGAATCGAACGCCACCTTCTGAGCCACCCGGCTGCGTCCCTCGGCGGTAGCGCCGTGCCCACCGCTCGCCGCCCACGTACCGGTGTAGTGCAGGTGTCCGGCCTTGATCATCTGCCCGTCGATCTCCACCGTGTACTCTCCGTCGTCGTTCGCGTTCACGTTGTTGATGACCAGGCAATACTTGTCGGCGATTTTCTTCAGCACGTGCTTCCCTTCCGTCTCGTCGATCGTCAGCAGCTTCCCGTTCTGCGGCACAAAACGTTTCGACGTTTGTCGTCTTCGTCGTCGTCGTCGTGATTTTCTCCCGAGTTTATCCCCGATCGCGTTGACGACGTAAGAGATTGGTTGCCAATTAATCGATGTGGCACTACTTGAGCACATTGGTACAAGGCAGAGAAAAGTGGAAACAAATGACTAAATGTGCAGTGGACACCTGCGGGCTGCCTGCCCATGGACCGTGATGATGATGATGACGCGGCGAACGCTGTTAAGCGATGAGACGAAGTCTCCGTTCCGAAATGTCACAGTGAACAGCCGATAGAAGCGAATTTCGCAGAGCTAGCTATGAGATGCCTTTGACGTCCTAATCTGAATATTTATGTATAGTCAGAACGTTACGGCAAACAATACACCAACCACGAGATGAGTGCAAAGTAGAGGAGCCAGCTACTTTGCACATGAGAGTAGCGTTCCATGGTATGACAGTCTGAACGACATGAATGAGTGAGGAGCTTTCTCCGGGCGCTCCGGTTTGACCACGTGTGCGCCAGCGATGTGGTTCAGATAATTAGGTTTCCTCCGAGACGAAACAAATAAATAACATCGGCCGGGCCTACACCAGACAACAAGCAGCAGTCCGCAACACTACATCATCGAAGGGAAACGTGAGCTGCTCAATTCCGTTCCCGAAGAAGCTCACAGGATGTGCAGCGAAACGTCGGACATCATGCCGCACAATACGCAGTACAAAGCGAAACCACATCGGAGGGGAAGTCACATTTAATAACATTAATATACATGAAACTGAATTGAAGTACCTTTAAGAATCGATCTCTATGAATGTGGACCGAGGTCACTCGAAGAGACGACTATGTTTGTGCACAAGCAAATATCAGAACTCTGTTCTGTGTCTCCACGCGTACATTAATTGTGTGTTAGTTCATCGGCCCATCAGCTGTCCAAAACGATACTATCCGTCAGCAGGAGCAGCATTTTGTTCAAGCAAGCAAACTCTGGACTGTTTGTGACCTTCTGGATCTCACGAGCAGAGTCAGGCCAGCAAAGCGAATACTGCTGTGTTGACAGATGGTATCGGCATGGGCCACTCCATTTAAATGATGGGACCGCTGTTCAACACCCACAAAAAATGCTACGACTCCGGTTGAATGCGGGGAAGGAGCAGGAAGGGGAGGAGTAGAAGGAGGAGTGGAATAATAATGATTTGTAAAGCGCCCTTAAACAATCGTTCTCAGGGCGCTATAAAATAACGAGAAGATAAGCGGTACGAAAGATTTTTAAACACTCGGAGAGAAGAGCAAGAAAAGGAGGAAAATGGAACAGCAAGAAGAGCTGAACAAGTGGAGAGGAGAGGCAGAAGGAGGCGGGAGGCAGAAGCGGTGGGACGAGACGCCGGCCTGCAGCGATTTGAGGAATCGTGGCGATCACCCACCTTGAAGAATCGCAGGTTCTTGCTGGGATCCAGCCGCTCCATGTAGATTTCAAACACGGCGGTTCCCTCCGCATTCACCTTCACGTGCTTTAACGCCTTGCGAAGCTGCAGCTCCTAACGGGACGAACACAACCGCCGCCCGAAGTTTGGCATCTCAAAAAGTGCAAACGCGCTGGGTGAGATCACGGGCAACAAGAATATCTCACGAGGGCGAATGCATTGTCTCGATCGGTGGACAGCGTTGCCTGCGCAACTGACACGCAAAATGGGACCTCTAATGTCCCGAATTTTCTTTTTTATCCCAGGACAGCTTCCTCAACAAGATGAGGGCCTGGGAAACTCCGGGCAGGTGGCAACCCTAGGCCAAGGACAAACACCTGTACATCAAATCCGCAGGACAAACACAGAAAAACACACAATGCCTGTCCACCCCAGAGCTGCTTGTTCTTCGGTTGCATCTTCCTAAGTCAATCGAGGAGAGGCCTACGGTAGGTTCAGATATCACTTGCAGCCGATCATTATACAGCACTCTGCCGCCGCTTCTCAAATGCACGCACACGCAGTGAACAACGACAAAGATCCCCCAAAGAGCCGTAGCAGACTGCTGGGGCAAGTGCTTTTCGCGAGCACTTATGAAGGCCGGCGAGGCACACGAGGGACCGGTCTGGCCAGGATCACGCCCGGCCGCCTTGGTCTCGCGAGTGGAAAATGTTCACACACCGCATCAGTCGACACATGAACAACAGCAGCCGCCATTTGCCACTAAGTGGCGGTGACGTCACAAAGGTGCTTGTGCCAGTGGTAGGTGCACTTTGAGACCATGTGTCGAAGGTTCGCTGGCAGGAGTTCGCGGGAGAGACCCAGGTGCCATGGGTTGACTGACTGATATAACTGGGAGATGCCCCACCTGAGATATGAACAACACACACAAGACGAAGGTCCAATGTGTAGCCTTAACAGACTGGTGAGGAAAGTGCTGTTAGCGAACACCTATGAAGCCTAGGACGGCACACAAGGGGGTGGGTGGCCAGCACCAGGTACTCATTTCAGGCTGAGTAGACCTAGAGGAGGCCCAGGACCGGTTCAGATAATCGTCACTGATGTTGGCCGTGAGCGGGAATCGAACCCGGGCTTCCGGATTCGTAGCGCAGCGCGTTACACGCGACACCAACGCTCCACACACACAAGCACAAACACACACAAATGGGTGCACACACACACACATGAGCACGTACATTTTCCTCCTCCTCCTCTTTGGCATCCTTCATGGCCTGCAGGCGACGGAGCATGCCGCGGAAGTCCTTGATGCCGTGCTTGAAGCAGATGGCCTCGTAGTCCTTCCTGTCGGCGCTCATGAGGATGTCCCACACCTCCTTTTCGTCGAGCGTCTTCTCTGGGACCTTCTCTTCTTCCACCCTGCGAGGAGGTGGCGGAGAAGAAGTGGGGTGGTTTGTTTTCCGTTTTCAAACCGCAGACGCAGAGCGCAAGGCCCACACGCCCGAGCAACAAACGGCGCAATCGAATGCGCAAGAGACAATGAGTTAATAGCAGTTTGTCGAATTGAGAAATGTTATACTGGAAAGAGAGTCGAGATTAATCGGCTGCTACTTAAAAGCCCCGCATACGGTATGAGCCACCGTCGATGTATGGCCAGGTCACCACTGAAAGAGAGCTAGTAGCTCGGTGGGCTCATACCCGGTAAATAAAATAGCTTGGTTTTATTTGGGATGATGGAAGACAATCCCAAAGTGGATCTGCGCGGTGAAGGAAGCAGAGAGGGAAGAGTTGGGACCTGCGGCATGCTGGTGGAACAGAGTACGGATAAGACAGTCCGGGTTGCGGGTTCAAATCCCAGTTGTGGAGTGACCCAGCCCATCATTCCTCCAGGTCAATAAAGTGAGGTGACAGTTTCTGGGAGGTCAACATCCCTTGTTCTCTGTTACAGACTAACCCCGGCCATACAAATGTGGACAACTTATTTGAGCAGGAACTTACTTTGACTCTTGGCCTTGTTTGGAACTCAATCACCTTCCGCCAAGTTTAAATCCACGTCGTATTTGACAGAACACCCGTTTATCAGCGTTGATTGATTGATTTGGATCCCGACAAAAGCCACCAACGCAACGACTGGACGCTTGGCCCCATGCACCCGCGCAATAGAACACAACACACCTCTGCACTGCATGCACGCGCATATACAGCCCCGTTTGTCAATGTGCGTGTACGAGTACAGCCCCCTTTCTAATTGGTCCACTGCTGCAGAGGGGCTCTTTAACGCACGCTTCACCACAACTACGTCATTGGCGGTTGGTTGAAGGCGTGGAGCATGGACGTGGGAGCACAGAAGCACAGTGCAACAATGGACAGTGCTTGCACTGCCTTCTGCTGCCCGCAATGTACATCATGCGATGGCACACGAAATAACAACAGCACCACCACCACCAAACGAGACGCTGTGACGACGTCCATATATACCGAGCACTCCAACAGTGTCTGCATGGAGAGCCGTATATATATATTGCACCGCTAATACTTAAAGCTGCCTGTACGTGGCAGGATCGCGCAGTTTGCGCGTGCCTCACCGATTCTTTCTGCGGAGCAGAGCAGAGATGACATCACACAGGTACCACGAGGGCATTGGCTGCGCGCCACTTTTTCATTGGTCGTTTGCCCAGCGTAAAGTACCACCACATCGGCGCAGTGATGGGCCAAAACTGGCCGGATATTGGACAAACAATGACAGATACAATGGTCTGGCGATAACCCAACACAGCGCACATTTTGGCGTTTCTTGTCCCAAGACTGGGCGTATTTTGGACAAATCTTGCACAAATGAGGGCACAAATACTAATTTGGTGATGGCCCAGTGCTGTCAAAGTTGTAAGGTTTCGTGTCCAAATGTCGGCCAAATAATGGTTCAATTTGGATCCAATAATGGCTAAATAATGGCCTGCTAATTGGAAAAAATCGCTGGAAATGATGGTCTAATACTGATCAAGTGGTGGTCCAACAATAAACTAGTGATAGGTCCAACATTGGCCAATGAATTAAACTATGTTGGCCTAATAATGGCCCAGCATCAAAGTTTACAGCCCCCATATTTCTAAGACGCATATAGAGCATTTGTTCGTATGAGGTCAAACGACGTTCAGAAACGTTAATGTTGCGCTGAACTGACAAAGGCCACCTCAGTGGCTGTCTGCACACGTTGTCTGACAACACGAAGGTGGGTGGCTAATCTGTGAAGACTTGCGGCTAAATTCGTGATAGTGTCACCTGTTAGAAAAACAACACCGTGGAGAAAAGCAAATGGAAACGGCTGCGACCATTCTGCCCGAGCTATGGCTCAATGACACACGTGAGGGGAACGACACCATACTCTTTGGTTGTTTCGCTAAAGTCACGTCGGTGAAAAATGCTCTTGCTGTGGTTGTCACACCTGATGATGATTGCTTGTGTTGGAATCGAAACGTCGTGATTTAATTTACTTTTTTTAATTTTTTATTTCATTTTTCACCTACGTGACTTTCCCGAAAGAACCAAAGAGCATGGATCCTTGCAGTCACGAAAACTTCAAATCTAGAAGGGGACAACACTCAAAACCATTCCGTGGATTGGTCGGCGCCAATCCACTTGCTGTACTGCCACGAGCCCCACGTGCACAACAAAGTGTTGGACTACAGGCGGAGGTCGAGGCCAGCGTTTTAGCTTCACGTCGTCGATGAAAGGCAAAGGTGCAGCTCGATTGCTTGCTCGCGTCACTGCTAGCGGAAGGGCCTCTGCTAGGGGGAGCTCAAGAGATCCCCTCTAGATGGGCATCATGGCGGCGAGATGTTAACTACCTCGCCTGGTATACAGGAGGGTGTGGGTTCAATCCCGACCCTGACACTTGTATATTTGGAGTTTGGGTGTTCTCCCCGTGGTCGCGTGGATTTTTCCTCCGGGTCCTCCGGGTTTTCCCTCCACATTTAGAATCGTGCGTTTAAGATGCAATTTGGCTGCTGTAAATTTACACGCGACAAGCCACTTCATTGAGCTATTATTTGTGGTCAGGTCGCTTCTGAAAAAGAGCTGTAGAGCTCAGTGGACTTTACCTGGTAAAATAAAAAAACATCGATTTTATTATAGTTAATTATTTGGCCTACTCTTCCACGTTGACAATACATCTTGGAAATGGTGGCAGTATCTACACTCTTCCCCGTCGCAGACGACCCGAAGACTAACGATGGTGTACCCCGCTTACACTGCTGGTTGGACAGAGGAGGATGAGGATTTAAGAAACGTGGCCCCACTATGTCAACAGCTGTGCCAATGGAACAAACCAGCGACCTCTAGGACTGCAAGTCCAGTGTCCTAATCGTCACGCCAGGGCAGCATCCCTACGATATTACGACGCCTTACAGAAAATGTACTTCGTATATGAAAGACCGAAACGGGAGGATTTCTCCACAATTCTGGCTGTCGCCTGATGATGCTGGTTGTTGTAATTACCGGTGAAACGTCACGGCGCTCAAATTGTAAATATTGTAGTGGGTTCACTCTCCAACACACCGGTTGTGCTGAACTAGTAACGAATTGTAATGTTGTAGTGGGTTCACTCTCCAACACACCGGTTGTGCTGAACTAGTAACGAATTGTAATGTTGTAGTGGGTTCACTCTCCAACACACCGGTTGTGCTGAACTAGTAACGAATTGTAAATGTTGTAGTGGGTTCACTCTCCAACACACCGGTGTGCTGAACTAGTAACGAATTGTAAATGTTGTAGAGGGTTCACTCTCCAACACACCGGTGTGCTGAACTAGTAACGAATTTGCACGATTGTTTGCGTGACAAACCTTACTAATTGTCTGTGTCGGGTGGTGGCGGGTTTAAAGAACCTCTATTATGGGTAATGTTGGTCACGAAAGCCTACGCGTTAAATGGAAAATGAGTTACCTTTTCTTGAGCTTTGCACGGAAGTCCCCCGCATCACTGACCTCCTCTGTATGTCGTGTCATCGTGAAGAACATCAAGTCAGAACATCAAGTCCAGGTTAGAGGGTTAAGGCTTGAACAATATTACTAACACGCAGAGACGAAGATCCCCCCTATAGCCTTCAACAGACTGTTAGGGCAAGTGCTATTAGCGGACACCTATGAAGGCCCGCACGGCACACTAGGTGGTGGATGGCCAGCACCACACCCGGCCGCCTTTGTCTCACTAGTGCCGATGTTGGCACATCGCAGCAGGTGCTAATTTGAGGCTGAGTCGACCTAGGCGAGGCCCAGAACCGGTTAAAATGTTCGCCGCTGTTATTGGTCGTGAGCAAGAATTGAACTCGGGTCACCGGCTTTGTAGCGCAGTGCGCTAACCGCTGTGCCACCGCTCCCCACCATGTACACACACACACGTACAGAATATACATTTGTTTGCAGTAATTTTTAATCCGCCAGTAGATGAAGGTGTCTCCACACCATGTCGCTCATGCTGTGATGGGTTTAATTATACAAAACCAATTTCTCGCAATCGTAATTGGAAGAAAGCTTGAAAACCCCCACATTGCGTGTGTATGACGACTCGCTGTACTGCCTTTCCACAGGTGGTCGCACAATGAGCCTAATCGCACACTTGCTTAATCCACTTGATCCATTCCCACTTTATAGATAGTGAGCCTGTGGGTGGCCTTTCGTGCTTGCACAGGACAGGCCTCAATATGAACCGCGATAATCGCTGCATGTGTTATGGATACTATTGAGTAAAAATGTTTACAAAATAGAGAAAGGGCCCTTACCTATTAACAAAAATAGGGCAGTTCAGCAGCGTTGGATCAGCGTGCCAGACTCTGCAACTTGAAGTATTGAATGCTGAAACCAACGCTCCAGATAAGAGACGCTCTCGGAGGGCGTATGGCCGATGGGTAACGTGCACCAAACAAAAAAAAAACTTTTTTTATTTTGGTGCAGAAACAAATATGGGGAAGGAGGCGCTGTGATTTTGCATTAAAAAAAACAATACTGCTTACGTTTCATCTGTAGTGGCGCTGACTTGCGGACTGCATGCGCCCAAAGAGACAGCAAACAAAAACAACAACATTGCAGACTTTGCAATTGTCAACAACAATACACCTGTCATTATGACAACTACAGATGAGATCACTTACCCAGAAATAGGTAAGGCAACATTGCTCAGTGGAGAGACAGTGTAGCCGCGGGGATAGGGTGTCTATTCTTTGGTTCTTTCGGTCACGTATAAAGATAAAATAATAAATTAAATAATAGCATACTACGACGTTTCGATTGCAACACAAGCAATCATCATCAGGTATAAAAGAAATAGAAACAAAAATTAACCGAAAGAACCAAAGAATAATTCCTGCAGTCACGAAAGCTCCAAAATTAAGATAGGGTGTCTCCCACCAAATCACCCTGAATGAGCGTGATCTCATCGGATCTCAGAAGATAAGCGGGGTTGAGCCTGGTTAATGCGATGCTTGGCTCGGTGAGCACCTGGGGCTTGCCACATGTGGAACTCTCTAATCCCTTTGTACATCCGCAACGTCAAATGCACTCCTGACTTTTAAGAAACATCTAAAGACCTCTCTATCTGATCATTGTTTTTTTTACCCTTCTATCTGGCAACAAAACTGACACCTTTTTACAAGGAGTCATGTTTGCATAGACCGCAATACCTGCAGTCATAATACAAACAAAAGACATAACTCTGATAATGTGCACTGTCCTTGAAGTTGATTGGTCCACACCCGAGACAGCTTTCCTTCGAGCCTAGTCTCACATGGGTTGGACCAGAGTTATGTCTTTTGTTTGTATTATGGCTGCAAGTATTGCGGTCTATGCAAACATGACTCCTTGTAAAAAGGTGTAAATTTTGTGGCCAGATAGAAGGGTAAATAACCAATTATCATATTTTTACTGGCAAATGAGATTCCCAGGGTGTAAACCTCTCTATCTGTTTGGGTCAGGGCTTTCGAGTAGCCCTGAGCTTGGCTCTGCTCCTCTGAGTTGTTGGCCTGTCTATAAAATCTGGCACGTTATAAATACCATTATTATTATTCCTATCACTCCCTGATATGAGTGGTGGGTTTTTTCTGGGGTTGTACGGGTTTCCTCCCATAGAGCCAAACGCTCATCAATGGCATTGGCCAAACATCCCAAATGAAGTTGAACCCCCCCCCCCCTCCCCTTCTGCAAAAATGTTGGACTTCGTGAAACTTGTCTGGGTAAACAATTGCAATTGTATTGGCGTAAAAAACGCAGGGCAGAGATTCAAACCTGTGTCGTGACATCGCTGGATGTCACCATGCTGTGTGTGCATTACCGGCCCTAGAGGGGCTCGTTGTACGTGGAGTGACAGCGCTGGATGGCACCATGCTGTAAGGGCGTTGCCCGCCCTAGGGGGCACGGTGTGTGTGTGTGCCGACCTAAAGGGGAGGGTCAGGTAAGGCCATGACACTCTGGTTGACCCGGGAGGACACGTGACCGGTTTGAATGACAGGGGGGCCCCCAAGAGGGGGCTAGGAGGGTCACGTGATTCGAACCCAGGTTCTTCCTGACGGTTCTGGAAGGGGGGAGTGGCCAAAGGTGGAGCCGGCCACGCCGGAGAGAATGTAAGCCGAGTCCCGAGAGGGATCTTGGTTGTCCGTCCCGGGGAAAAAACCCTTCGTCTACGATCTCCGTTCTGCGAGTCTTCCAGCACGTGGACCCAGGCAGGATGTTGTTGGTCCCGGGTCCGGAGTTAATAGTTACCCAGTAACCAGTGTAGTTAGCCAGGGTGGTCACCACCCTAGGCCGTTGTCTTGTTAAAGGGTGAAGTCACCCCGTTGTGTTGGAACTAAATGAATGCGCTGTCTCCAAGTCTAAGAGTGCGACTCAGTTGAACCCACTACACCTGCATCCTTGATTTGTTTTAACTAAGCCGCCTCAATGTTCTATCCCACTCGGCTACAGCTTCTCCGCCACGGTTCAAACTAAGCCGCATCAATGTACTACCGCTGCGGCTGCACCCCCCACGCACGTGAGATGGCAATGAGGGCCACGGCGATGGAGGCCTCGGCGTGCACGTTGCTGGCGGTGCAGCGGTACGTGTCGGCGAGTTTCGAGACCACCTTGGGCACCTGCCGGGGGGGAGGGGGGGGGGGAGAAAGACGCGGAGTCAAAGGGGAGGGGGGGAGGGGGTGCAGGAGGACACCCTTCGCCTGGACAGATGCGAACACACCCGAACAGGGTAGAGCTGGGACGATTTGTCGATGTTGTCGATTAATCGACGACCATTTTTTTGTGATCGATCGATCGCTCGAGCCTCTTTTTAACAACGGCGTGTGGCCTCCCATGTCGTGCCTTTGCGAAGGCCGGAAGCTCCCTAAAAGCTCCTGAAAGCCACGCCCTGGGTGGTGATGCACTTGATGACGCCGATGACATCACAAAGCCTCCCACCCATCGCCCCCAGTCCGGCGGCAAGTGTGGGAACAAGACGTGGCGCTCGACCTTTCATCCCAACTACGTTCGCGTTGTCCGATTCGTCGAGTAACGGGACCGATACTTCGGTACAGAGTAATGCATTCCTTAAATAATCGCTTGTCCCGGGCTATAGAACAGAGACACTCTGACCTGGACTTGGACCAGTCGCACGTGGCTCAAATTAGAGCCATGTGCGGTGGTGGCGGTCACGGCCGTACAAAAAGGGGGGGGGGGTGCGGGGGCCCAGAGCAATTCCACCATGTGCCCCCCCCCACCGCCTTCAAACTAAACCGTAAGTATTACATTTGACACCGTAAACATCGAAGAGCAGGGCCCCCCAATGCACGGGGCCCAGGGCAGTCGCCCCGATTCGCCATGTACTTCTCGGGACGGGTCTGGTGTTGTTGGTGGTGGTGGTGCACGCCTGAGGTCCAGGGCTTTGTAAGCAAGAGTTGCCGGATCAAACAGATTTATGAAACTCACCCGCCGGCTGCAAAGGTGGCCTGGAGATTGCAGTACAGCAAATGGATTGTGACTCTGTCTGTGGAGAGCTTTGGTTGTTATCCCCTTAAAAGCATGGGCTTTCTCTGGGTACTCGCTTATTTTTTATCCCCACATCTAAAACACTCTTTTAGGAAATTAGCAAAACACTCCAACGTAGGATCCTGCTGAATAAGAGTCGGGATCCGGTGAGGCTTTGCAATTTACCTTCATACATTTTCGGGAGTCATTGGTAACCAGGCTAGGATTTTAACAAAAACACAGCACAATTGAGAACCTGGCTCAATCACAAAGCGGGCTGAAACCTGGATTCAAACCCAGGATCTCAGGGATCGAACTGCGGTTGTTGTTTCTTGGTGGCGTGCGCCAGGGTCGAGACTGCTGACCGTCGTGACACTCGCCCACCCATCAATCTCCCGAGTGGTTATTAATACTTACAGAGCTAACATTGCCTCCAAGGTCAGGCTTGCCTTTTTTTTTTCTTCCATCGTTTTAGTCACGGTGGACGCAAAGGTGAGGGTCTGACGGAGATGTTAGTGCCAACCGCTGCACGCTCACTGTTTGTCTTTATTATGGTCACACGGTTATTGTGATTGTAACAGCGGCATATGAATGTTGTGGGGAATTCTATAATGTGGAATTTGGGCAGACCCGGAGTTAGGGGGTCGGTTGTCCAGCATGTTGCCTTGGCTGGGTTGCCTGCAATTGTGAATTATATAAATTATACAGTAATACAGTAATGGCCAGAAATAAGTTGGGCAGCGGCTCTCACTGCACTATAAATTGATATCCCAGTCACGGCCGACATCAGAGCTGGTTCCACCCCCTCTGCAACACACTGCATTAACCATCATGGTGAAGTATGGTCAAAGAACAACAACAACAACTAAGTGGCGGTGACGTCACCACGGCACTTGTGCAAGGCCATGTGCATTTGAAGGCCAGGTGAAGTGTCGAACGTCCGCTGGCAAGAGGTCACGGGACAGACCCAGGTGCCATGGGTCGACTGACTGAGATGATCGGCCGATGCAGTCGGTCATGGTCAAACAACCTCCATGATCGACATGGTGTGGGGAAAGTATTTCTGCCAGCAGTCAATTGACACAGATCTGTGGATTATAAGTATATAATTGATGGAAGGATACTTATAATCCTTCCGTCAATTTTGGAGAAGACATCTCACCAAATATAAAGAAACAAGGCAGGCAAATCACGCATATTCATGGATTCTGCAACACTTTCCAAACGTGTGCATGTCATCGGAAATATTAAAATAGCGACATTTAGACCACGACGAAACAACAGGCCTCGGGTAGTGGCTCTGCCAGGGAGAGCACGGCTAAACCTCTGCGTCAATTTCTATGATTTTCATCGGGTAAAATTTCATAGGGAAAATCCTAATAGCAACACAACTCTATACTCAAGTTTTGTTCATGTTGAATCACCCTTATGAGATGTATCGCATATCCTCGTTGCAGTCGGACATAAATACTGCACAAACGCTTTCAACCCGAATTGGAAAGATTCAACAAAAGGGCAAGGATGGTTTTTTTGCCAAAATGTAAAAACTAAAACTACTTTAAATACCACCAAAAATCGAAAACGCTATTCTGGATCAATCTTTTGAGCTGCAGGAGTTGATCACGAGTTAAAATTATCCCAAAAAAACAAAAAAAGTGCATTGACAAATTTAAATTTAAGGAGTGACGGCAGGATAACATCACTAGATGCCATAATGGCCACACACCTGATGACATCTTGGCCTTCTCTTCCACGATAGCCTTACATCTCGGAAAAGGTGAGAATAGCCACGGTTTACCCCACCGTATGCCACCTGCGAATTGACTGTGGGTGTCACACATTGGTACTGCTGGATTGTCAGAGATGGGGGGATTTAAGAAGCGTTCCCATTGAGAGATTCAAAACGGTGACTTCTGAATTGCAGTCTCCTGTGCTAACCATCACATCACGATGGCCCTACATGAACAAACATCCCCGTGAAGCCAAGAAGTTATGTTCGCGAGGGCCCCACAATAGGCCGGAATGGCACCGAGTTATGGCCAGCACCTACGCCCCGCTGCCTGAATCTCCACGGTTTTGTTGTTTACACACAAAACCAGGAACTAGTTTAAGGATGCGTTGACCTAGGGGAGGCCCGGCATCGCTTCGGATGGTCTCCACTGATGTTGGCCAAAAGTGGGAATCGATCTCGGGTCACCGGTTTTGTTGCACAAGCCACTGGCAGGTGGGGGGGGGGGGGGTGAAGTGGCCATTTGCCCTGGGCCTCACGCAAAAGGGGGCCCATAAGCGGGCTCTGTTTTTTGTTGTGGATTTCTGCTGCAGGCATCTATTTAACCTCATGAAGGGACCGAATCGTCACTGGTGTTGGCTGTGAGCGGGAATCGAATTTGGGTGGTCGGGTTCGTAGCGCAGCGCTCCCGACAATACATTGCATAAACACACAGACACACGCGCGCATGTGTTTCTTACCTCCATGATGTGCTCGTCCTTGCGCGGGTCATAGTGCACCTTGTAGTCAGGGCCAGTTACCACTTCCTCCCCGTTAATCCTATGCCAGGTCACCGTGGGTGTCGGCTTTCCAAAGACTCGGGCACGGAAGGTGGCCGATTTCCCTTTTCACACAAACAAATGGGGCGCAGTGTTACACACATGCACTAGAAAAGTGAATGCGCATCCCTGCAATTGCTTGCTCACGCTACTGCTGGCAGAAGGGCGTCAGCTAGTGGCAGCTACAGAGCATCCCTCTAGACTCTAGAGGATACTTCGCCTTTTCTTCCCTGCTGGCCAGAAAAAGTTCTACACACGTGTGTTGAACTTTTTTCGCACCTTACCTAGCCAACCGTGCCAATCGGATGTGTGGGGAAAGGACAACAAGACTTATCATGATTATGAAAACGTCTCTCGCAAATATTGGGACTGTTAATGTCATCCCGGGAGGACTTGCATATTTCCCAAGACAGCGGCTGCCTCAACAATTAGAATACGATCCTGGAAAATCCAGGACAGGTGGCAACCCCAGTTGCCATGGGTTTTCTTAGTCCACCCAGAGCTGCCCCCCCCTCCCCCCGCCCCCCCCTCCGGGCCCCCTCGGGCCCGCGAGCTCCTGGGCGCAGTTGCACTACGTGCACGCTCGATAGCTCCACCGCTGGCACCGTGTCGGACGAGCGCACGTCGTCTTGTCGCGTCTTGAGCGGGCGGGGGGGGGGGTAATGGGGGCGGGGGGGGTGGTGGGGCCGGAGGGGCGGGTGAAGGAGGGGTGGTGGGGTGGTGGGGGGGGGCCTCACCCTCCATGAGAGTGAGGGAGTACGGCTTGTTCACGAACTCGGGGATGCTCTGCCCATCCGGCACGGTGCCCTTCTCCGTGTGGTGGGTGTAGGCCACCATGTTGAGCGTGAAAGACTGCTTCCGCCGGGCCTTGTCTGCGCCGCGTCAACAAGAAACACAAAAATGAACAACAAAACGATCCACCGTGGGAGCTAGCGCCTACCTGTGACTGCCCGCACCTGTGGCAGATGACTGATGTTTTCACGGAGCACACCGTACGGGTGCTGGTTTGAGGCTGCGTCGACCAGGGAGATGTCCACGACCGGTTCAGATGATAATCGCCGGGAGATGGCAAAATTCGGGTCGTTGTGTTCAAAGCGCAGCGTCGCTAACCACTGCGCAACCGCTCCACCCAAGCCTTTCAACCCCCTGCCAACACTGCGTGAATGTAATTCCTTCCAGCTCGCGTTTTCTCTCTCTCGTGTGAGTTATCAATCAATCAGCTAATGAGCATGGTGGCACGGGGTGCCTAGCCCACCCCACCCCCACCTGGTGGGCAAAGCTGCGAGTTGGGGCCCCCTTTGAGATCTGTTGTCAACAACAACCGTGTCGAAGAACAAAAACAAACGCTTAAAATGCGGTGTAAATTAATTTTCATGAAAATGCTTTCATTTACGTTCCACGGTGTATTTTAATTTAATTAAAGCGGTGATGTAATATTGCAAGTGGGGCAGGCACTACGGAGCTGTAGCAGCTGCATTTTGCGAAGACGGAGTGCCCCGAGAGCGTTAAATGTTCGAGTCCGTGAGCGTAATGATATCATCAAGCAAGGGGAGCCGCGATCTTTAATTGCCTAGGTGCGACCGTGGGAGAAAAATCTAATATTGGGGTCCCACCTGACCGATCTCCGCACCCCCTGAGCTGGTAATGTCGTCACTACGCCACTGTCACCGATGCAATGAAGCCCCCGTGAATCCATTGTCACGCACCGCGTGCTATTTAGCTACCGGTTCCTTCCAGAACACTCACCCCCTGTCCCCAGCATCGCCCGTCGCCGTGTGGGCCTCTTTCATCCATCCCTTCGCCCACTCTCTCTTTTGAACCCTCATTGGTGCAATGAAGCCCCCATTAACCCTGCCGCCGCCGCCACCAAAACACAAGACAAAGATCCCCCGTGTAGCCTTAACAGACTGTAGGGGCAAGTGCTGTTAGCGAGGACCTATGAAGGCCAGAACGGTACACGAGGGGGTGGGTGGCCAACACCACGCCCGACAGCCTTTGTTTCCCTAGTGGCGATTTTTACACACCACTGTACCAGACGATCATTTGAGGCTGAGTCGACCTAGGGGAGGCCCAGGACCGGTTCAGATAATCGACATTGGTGTTGGCCGTGAGCGGGAATCGAACTCGGCTCGCCGGGTTCGTAGCGCAGCGCGCTAACCGCTACACCGCCGCCACTACCACGTGAGTCGTCACGACTGCTCCCTGTCCCAGTATCGCTCCACGCCGCCGTTCGTGGCAGCCGTCCCTCTCGAGTTAGTCGGCCCTCCACGCTTCATCATCATCACCACCATCGTCATCATCGCCGTCGTCGTCATCGTCGCCGTCGGCAATCACGGGTTGCCGTGGGGTAATATTTCTTGCCAAAAATAGCCGAGTGGCGGATGAGGGGCACCTCGGCCAAATTGTTCACGGTTCATCGCAGCGGCTCTAAACCCATCGCTGGCGCAATAAAACTCTCGCCACCACATCTCTCTCTCTCTCTCCCCCGCCGGCTAAATTAATCCCGAGGGCGCGCGCCTGGGTCGAAATAATTCGGGGCTTGCCGCAAAGAGGCACGGAGCTTGCAGAGCAGCGAGTGGCAGATGTCGGGAACTGAGTCACCCCCCCACGAGAGAGATTCTCTCACCACGCTTCCCCGAGTCGCCGGCGTCGATGCCCAGTGTTTCTCAAACTTTGTTTAGGCCTGCCCGAACCGCTCAGCCGATGTCAAAATTGCCGTGGACCGCATAGCCCCCACCCCCCAACCCACCCACCCGCCTCTGGTGATACAAACACATTCACTTCTCTCTGTAAATCCCAGCAATACTAAATTATTCATATTACCGGATTTTTTTTTAATGCAGCTATAAGGTTGTTTTTTTTAGGGGGACATTTAGAACTTAGGGTTAGGGTAGTTTACCGCACTTAATGTTTTTAAAAGTTAAATATCATAAGTAAAATATGAATTAATGTCCAAAACAAGAATAAACATCGTCATCATTATTTCATTTGCGTCGCGGCCCCACGGTACCACCTGGAGGACCGTGGCGGAACCACCTCGGTGAGAACCGCCTGCGGCTCGAAGCGACATGGAAGGGGTATTAGAGGTGCAGCGTTGCAGCCCTGGAAATGACTCTCTGTCGCAGCCGCTGCTGGCGGAAGGGCCTCCCAGCTCCAAGGGAGTTCTCGTGAGAAGCCCTCTCGCAAGAGGGGAGTGTGGAACCCCTCTCACGAGCGTGGCCGGACGACGCCTCGGATGCAGCGAGCGGTAGCCGCCGCCCGCCCCCCCCCCCACACTCTTGCCTCCGTCAGTCAACTCTTTTACACCCGAGTTGCACTTTTTACGCACCGAAGTCAGCCGATCGACGAACTCTTTACTGCCGCCAAGGACAGAGTCGTGGGGGAGATTTTCAGAAACGTGTTGTTCCTCCCACTGCCACCACGCCAGGGGGGATTGAATGGAACTGGTGCTACTCATCACCGCACGGCAGCATCGCACGAGTTCATTGAGAAATACAAATGTGATGCATGGGTCACGAGCGTAATAATACATTTTGAAGCACGTACACAATCGGCGTGGGACAAGGCGAGGCTGGGTGGGTGGGTGGTTGGGAATGGGGCACTACACCTTTTGGAGGTGCGAGGCTATTCTTTGAGACGCCATCCTTGCTCGGCTGAACGTCCGAGATGATGACGGGCGGCTTCCGAAGCATGGCTGCTGCTGCTGCTGCTGCTGCCTCGGCGAGCTACGCACACAGAGAGACACGCACGCACACCAGTCGTCGTCGTCGTCACGATCAATGCGATGTTACAATTGTAATTGCTGTCATAGCCGTAGAATGGTCATCAAACGTTCAAATAATCACAACCATCAAATGTCAATATTAACACAGCCATCATCATCATCACTAGCATAATGATCACAACCATCACCATAAGTGTCGATGACCACAACCATCGGTAGCATAATAACAGCCATAGTGATCACAACCATCTTTATCAGTGTCAAAGTGATCAGCATTACGGCGTAGAGCCTGTTGAGACCAGAACTTCTGTTTTGCTAGGAAGAGCTGTTTGGTTCAAATAGAAATGTCAAGAACGTATTACCAAGAACATCGGGAAATGTCAAGATCACGTTTGCCTGCCTCAACATTCCCGCACCTCCGATTCGTACGGTTGGCTATGTACCGCGCGAAAGAAGTTCAACATACATGCAGTACATACAACACTCACATTGTGTACTGTATTGTAATGCCTAACATGGATTCTGCTTTGCATACGTAAATACAAAGACATAGATCCCTCATATCGCCTTCAACAGACGGTTGGGACAAGTGCTGTTAGTGAGGACCTATGAAGGCCGACACGGCAGATAAGGGGATGAAGTGGCCAACACCATGCCCGGCCACCTTTGTCTCCCTAGTGGCGATGTTTACACACCGCACCAGGTACTCATTCGTTTCGGATAATTGTCACTGGTGTTGCCGTGAGCGGGAATGGAACTCGGTTTGCCGGGTTTGGAGCGCAGATTTTCGAGTGAGTGATCGGGTTAGAGCGAGAAATCTGCTTGGCTAGTGCAGTTAGGATTAGCAGTAGGGCTCGAATATGCTTTGTCTATTTTGGTAATGATGAGCTGTAGGGGCTAGTGCTAGAGATTCGTGTTATCACCTCTTATGGATGGGTTTTTTTTTTGTATTCTACAGCTACTCCAGTTTCCTGCCACGTGCCATAAAACTGCATTCATAGAATTGGCCAATCATCAAAATGTTGCACAACCCTCCTTAACAGGAGCATTGGTGCTTCCTGAGGCTTTTCCTGGATCAAGGGTTTTGGCATGAAAATTACGTTACGTGTTATTTGGCTGGCTAACGTGGTTGGCATTGGCGGTTATGGTTCGGAGTGGAATTGGAGCGTGGTGCTATGGGTCGGAGTAGAGTCGGGTTACAGCTAGAGGTAGGGCTAGCGTCTGGTTGGCTTGTGTGGTTAGGGTTACGTGTAGGAGGAATAGAGGCGAGTTGGCTAGATTGTTGAGGAATTAGTGTCGAGCGAGCATTCGGCGAGAGCGAGAGATCTGGCGACCATCTGATCGGCTAGGTTCGTTGGCGTTAGGGTCGGGCTTCAAGTTGGCTAGCGGGGTCAGAGGTTAGGGCAGAGCTACACGTGGAACGCGTGCTGAGGTCAGAGAGCCCGGGGTTTTGCTGATTGCGCGTAACACGAGCAGGTGATTATTTTAATGAATTCGAATAATTGTAAAGCAGAGGGAATGATTCATGAAGCAGCGGCTGCCTACCGCTGAGCTGTCCCGTTGAGACTGCGAGGAATTAATCAGCGGAAATATGAGGCATCCCTCACGCCACTTTACCTGAATCGGAGCCACGGCGCGCAGTGGTGTAACGAATTCAATAATTAACGTGGGGTTATTTATTTATTCTAGGGCTCGTGCTAACGCCCGGCCAGTTTGTGCTGGCTGGTCACGGGGTAGAAGCCGCGGCCAACGACTCACGAGAATGCAGAGACTGAGAAAGTGGCGACGATGATGAACGCGGTTCAGGGAGCGGAGGACGACAACCGCTCGCTGGGAATGAGACCGGGGGGGGGGGGTAGGGTGGGGGGATTCACTTGAAGGGCTGCGACACAGGAGCGGGGAAGCGAACGCGGACAAAAGACCCCGGAGTTCGATGGACGCGGCTGTGGGGTACATCAGATCAGGAGAAGAGGCGAGGATTGAGACCGAAACGAAAAGGCGGTCGAGACAGGCCGAAGAGCGAGAACCCGTGGCGGAAATGTGTTCAGCCCCCCCCACTGCCTCATCGTTCAAGAATTTCCTGGCAGAAAGGGACCGATGATGAGGGGTTTAAGTTAGAGCCAGCGCGAAGGATCGTACTCGCGACGAGTTGGCTCGCGTGGGTCTGGGCGGGTGCGCGCTTGGCCAGTTGGTCACGGTTCTGACAGAGGGACAAGTCCGTGGGAAGGCGAACAGTCACAGGCGGAGTTTGACTTACAGTATCTATATTTGGGGGGGGGGGGGGGAGGAGGTGGGCCAGGGGGCAGAGGTTCGCTTTGTCCCTCGCATTAGGAATCGCGGGTAAATTGAATTCATTAAATTTCGATTTAAAGCTTTCGTGACTGCAGGGATTCATCTTCTTGGTTCTTTCGGTAAAGTCACGTAGAATGGAAATAATAAAAATAAAACATAATAAAATAATATAATAATATAATAAAATGATCTAATAATATAATAAAATATTATGTTTTATTTTATTATGTTTTATTTTTATTATTTTATTATTTCCATTCTACGTGACTTTACCGAAAGAACCAAGAAGATATAATTCATTAATTGATTTACTTTTTAAAATCTTATTTGCGCCGTTGGGGGGGGGGGGATAGCCCCTCTCACCCGTGCCCCCCTCCCCATCGCAAACTTCACCCAACGGCTGACCGTACGAACGGATGGTCCCTCGGTCGCTTTCAGAAATTTCTCGCATTTGTCCAGCGGCACGCGCCTACGGGTTGTCAAACGTGATTCGGGTGAGAGTTGACGAGAGGCAGGTGGATCGATCGCCCACGACTCGAGGCTGCTCGGAGAGTTTGTTGAGGGTGGTGTTGGTGGTGGTTCGGGCAGAGAGGATTGGTGTTAATCAGCGGAGGGGCGGGGTGGGTGGGGGGTTTCTTTCTCCGACTCTGGCCGCTTGTCAACGTCCTCGTTCGGCGACGGCGGCGCTGGCGGCGCCCTCTGCGGCACCGCAGCCTCACCACCAATTTTGGTGCCGCGTGTCGCGGTGATTCACCCGCAATTTATTGTCTTTGAAACAAGCCCCTCGGTGCCAACGCGGAGCACACCACCCCCCCCCCCACCGCTCCCCCACCACCCCCTGCCACCCACCACTCCTACCACCCCCCAAACCCCCACGCCCCCCACCACCCCCCACCACTCCCACCACCCCCACCACCCACCAGCAACCCCACCACACCCTACTACCCCCACACCACCCCACCACCCCCACCACTCCCACCACCCCCACCACCCCCTACTACCCCCACACCACCCCACACCCCCCACCACTCCCACCACCCCCACCACACCCTACCAGCCCCCCAAACCCCCACACCCCCCGCCACCCCCCACCACCCCCATACCCCACCACCCCCACCACCCCCTACTACCCTCCACACCACCCACATCCCTCACCACCCCCCACACTCCCCACCACCCCCTCCACCCCATCTTTCCCCCCCTTTCCCCTCCTCCCCAGCAACGCTCCCTTGCCCCCCCCTTCCACCACGCCACCCATCCCCGTAGTTCGTTCTCTCACCGCGGGTTATTTTGGTTGCATTGTGTGCCACCACGGTCCAGGCGACACGTGTTTTTCTTGTTACCCCCCCACCACCCCGCGCGAAACAATTAAAACCAAAGTTTTTCAAGATGTCCGTCGACCTGCTGCAGGACTCGAGAATGAAACGAAGTTGAAGGGGTGATCAGCTACATCACGGGGACCTCCCTTGCCAGTATCGAAATCGAATAAGAGGTTGTACCCTTTCTGGCAATAAAACGGGCGTTGTTCGTATACAAGTTGAAGCGGTGTTGGGCTTTTTTATTCAACGGGTTTACTTAACTTGACTCCTGTGTTTGTCGTGGTCAAATCTTGTAATCAAAATTTCGTCCCCTTCCCGTTGTCCAATCAATTCCACATTTTGCACACGTGCTCAGATCCGGTGACAATGCATGCCTGTATCAAAATCGGCATCAATCAATTAATTAAATCGCTGCTTTAAAGAACTTTACATTTTGTATGGACGCCTTATTATTTATATATATTTGTGTGTAGGTCAAAAACGCCGCGGTCCAAAATCTCTCGAATCGCCTGCTCCGTGTGAACGAGTTACGGAAGGAATCAATTAATTGAAGTCAGCGTTGAAGTGGGAGCAGGCACCGCATCATTGACGTACTTCTCGACCGTGAGTGAAACGAAGTTGTTTTTAAAAAACTTTTCTGAAGGAGTTTATTTTGTGTGGCGCTTTTTTGAGACAGAGAGAAATATAAAACCAAAAATGTTTTTAAGCGGAGTGATTGACAGAAGGTTGAAATCCAATATTCAAAATATCATCATCACGTTACGATTTATCGATTGAAAATATACATCTGGCAGTCACCTTCATCAGCATCGTTGTGGTATTGCAGCATTGATGGATTGAGAGATGTTTGTAAATTTGTTATTTCAGATTGAAAAATATGTTTTAGATTGTAAACTCATTCTGACCATCGAACAAAGACCGTCATCGCATCTGTGCACCTTCACATGCGCTTCTGCGGCCGTCTGGAACGCGCTTCCTTCGGATGTTCGTAAGCGACTGGAGCTTTGCACTTTTCAATCTAAATTTTAAAACTTAATTTCTTTCGAACTGCTTTTTGCGTTTCGTTTGCTGTCCTTTTCCCCGCACCTCCGACTCGCGCGTCTCGGCTGCGTGCGGTGCAAAAGAAGTTCAACGCACGCGCAGAACATATGACACTTTTAAACTCGAGAGAACCCCAGAGTAGTGTTACAAGCGTGAGTACACAGCCGCTGTCCTGCGTGCGAGGCGGCGGTGACACGGTGCCAAAGGTGGTGCCACAGCTCATGCCAAGCAGCGCCGTTGCATCATTGAAAGCCACGTGATCGAAAAAAATAGTGCGTTGCGTAGTGTCGTGGTGTCATAACAAGCCTGCGTGTGCGCATTCCCATGCTATTGTTCACACCACGAACAT